CCTGCTTTGATATTGTTGGAATGCTACTAAACGTCTCAGTCACGGTATACTAACCCATAAGTCAAACTAATTAGAATTATGGTACAGTCACGAAGACTTACCTAGATCATCATACTAGATGATTAACCAGTTGTGCTCAATCAGAGTGTCATGCCAATTAGTAAAGTGACTTTAATGATGATTCATACCATCTTAATGAGTAAAACAATCTATTCTGTCTCGGTACACTCAAGAAAAACACATAAAAAATACCATGTCATACCTTACCTGAGCATCAAACTGGAAAGCCTTAGACATCCAGTGACTTCACACCGATATGAAAGAGCAACATGAAAGCTCAGCCAGCATAACAGTCTTAACTGAAACTGTTTTTCGTCAGTTTTTGCTGACTCATATGTGCCACTGGCACCAACTGACCTAGATAGTCAACTGTAATCAATATCTTACAATGCAGGTTGAGAAAAACACTAATTAACAGATGTCTTAACTCAATTTGATAAAACTTACATTGTATTAATATAAATCAACACAAAGCACCATTTCATGTCTATGTTAGTAGCCAAGGAAAGGTTTGCATCTCAGGTCCCCCTACATGGAAGTGAAATACAAATATTTCAATTTTTGACATTCCACTTGTTTTACTGAATATTCTTCTCTATACTTTGCAAAAGAAACAGTGAAAACATTATTTAAAAATCTATGGCAGGTTTTCAGGAAATGATGGAGAGCATTCACTAAAAAACTTCTTTTTTCAATATTCTTTTCATGTAAATATATACAATAAAACAATACTCCTCGTTATCAACAGGCATTCTAAAGAAAATACCATTCTTTCTTATCCTTTAATCGACAATATGTATAACTATTGAAGAAAATGAGTTTTTAAACAAAGAGTTAAAAATATTATGGTAATGCGGTATGGTACCAAGTGGTTCTGAAGTGGAAAGCATTCCAAATGGTGTGCAGTGCTTGTGGTGAACTGGAAACCAGATTCACAAGAGACTAATTACAATTATATTTAAACATGAACAGCATAACAGTTGTAACATAGCTGGGGAAGCCACAGAGAGTCAGTACAACCCTCTGGGCTGAGGTGAAGAGCTAACATTGGTTGAAGTGTCTAAACCCTATTGACTGACATCAGACTCACTTCTTTCATTGGCATTCTAGAAGTTGAGGAGATGAGTGAGTGAGTGAGTTTAGTTTTATGCCGCACTCAGCAATATTCCAGCTATATGGCGGCCGTCTGTAAATAATCGAGTCTGGACCAGACAATCCAGTCATCAATAGCATGAGCATCGATCTGCGCAATTGGGAACTGATGACATGTGTCAACCAAGTCAGCGAGCCTGACCATCCAATCCCGTTTGTCACCTCATACGACAAGCATGGGTTACTGAAAATCAATATTCTAACCCGGACCTTCATGGGTATTGAGGAGATGAAGAATGAGGGCAATTTTATGGATATACAACTCCTTTATTCTTTACAGGCGACGTTTTGTCATAGATTCTAATGTTGTTTTCACTTGCACATCTATTTCTATCTATTTAAATAAAACTTACCACAATAAAAAGAATGTGATTGGCTATTGCTACCTAATGGGGTGTGTCCTACAATAATGAAATGACCAGACAGAGTGGAAAACTTAATCCTGTTACCTGAATCTGCTTGGAAGGAGATTACGATATTACAATAGACATGTTTGTATGGGGCTTTATCACAATGAGCCTAAATTAAAGTATTAGCTAAATGTTATTCTACTGTACATGATGACAAGTTTACTTATATAAATAGATCAAGGATATTTAGTAAACTATGTAGATATAGCTTTTTTCTATTGAATAGTGTGTATAAGAGATGGGTTCTTGTTCCCTTAGGCAGGGCTTTATCAAGAAACATCTTTTAACTGTGTAAGACATACCTATATCTTTTTGTGAAATACAAAATGCCATTTAGAAAGTGGTCAAATGTAACATATGTTATATTTGGGATTACACTTTCTTAGTAAAGTACAGATTCTAAGTACTTTTTGGGTTGAGTTCCATCCGGGATTCGAACCCACACCCTCAGAGTCTGACACCTAATCTCAACCCAAAAAGTACTAGAATCTGTACTTTACTAAGAAAGTGTAAGCCCAAATATAACATATGTTATATATCTTTTTGAATGTTATGTCTGGGAGATGGGTTCTTGTTATCTTAGGCTATTATTTATCTTTAAACTATTACTGAACAAGCTAAAACTAATATTTTAAGTTTGCAATTTCCTAGTGTCTCCATCCTAATGTATATACTATTTGTGGATCTATAATCAATTATGATAAATTTATAAATGAATACTTTGTAAGCAGATTGATATTTCAGAATTAAACATACTTATATAGTGTTCCATAATCAAACTTAAACACTGAAACAAGTGTAAAAATGAAATGAGCTTTTGGCAAGTTGGATATGACCTTTTTTGTTGATCCCAGTGTTTATATGAATAATTCATTTTATTTCATGAATACTTTAGACGGTGGAAAAAGGATATTGTTAAAAACATGCCATAACATGAACAGCCATGAAGTATGACTGTGCACTATAGAGGAATCAATACTTTCAATCAGACTGGGCATGAATCAATATTCTTTCAGCTATTAACTGATCAACAAAATTGCAATGTCACGATAAGCTTGGTTAATTAAGACCACAGTAACCTGTCTTCTCTTTATCTCTGAATCTGTTTAGCTGGACGTCATGCTTCAGTTGGTATCAAGGTTAGAGTCTGTTTGTAGAGTCACCAAACCAGCCATTGGAAGAATCCGATAAAAGAAATGACTGCTTTACATTTGTAAGACCCTGGAGCAAGGGTGACTTGCAAAATCCAAACAGCCATGTGCACATGCGTACAGCTACTGTACATAAATACTATTTCACACAGAGCACTTGCTTGAATGAAGATACTGTATCTGTTCATTCATTCTTACTTGTTAAAACATGTTGTGGAAAACAGAAAACGGAACAAAAACAAACAGGTGAAAAGGTCAAAACCGACTACTTTCAATCAAAATGCAGTATTAAAATTCTGATTGAAACCCCAAAGGAATTGCTTAGTTTTGTACTCATTTTGCAGTCCCACTTACAAAAAATACATAAACATGATTAACAGTACATTTGCATCCATACTTATTGTACATTCATATTTTATACCCTCTAGTTCTACTTTATTTAAAAATTGTGTTTATTGTTCATTTTTATAGTTCCAGCCATTACCTTGAACTTCTACAATTACTGTTTCATGTCATTCGCATCTGCCCAACTACAAGCACTTATGTACCCTACAGATGAGCAATCAATCAAGATATCACTAAACAGTTAGTATCATTGCAACTGAATTTGTAGATACCAACTGTCTGACAATTAATGTGATAAGTTATCATAATTATTCATCTATGTTATTGAGACTTTGTGCAAACTTCCAAGAGATGTTGTTAAAAGAGCAGATCTTTTTTTTAACTGAAAACAGAATCAATCCTGAAAAACATGTACATGATATTCTATGGCAGTTAGAAACAGGAATTCAAAGACATGAAACTGTGAAATGAATTCAGTTACAAAAATAGTAATAGTGTAATAGTAATAAAAATAAAGAGCATGCAGTTTATGTGTCATTTTGAGTTGACACATGATAACATGATGTTTTCTAAGCAATTCCTTCCACTGCTGACAGTTGTTACAGGTAAGTAGCATATACATGTATTATAGACAGACACAGACATTATTACATTATATTCTATTATATTCTGAATAATATATTCATGTGAGAATAAATTCATGTGCTGGAACAGGACTTGTTGGTATTCTATTAGATCTTTTCATTGAGGGCCTTTTTTCCTACCCATTAAGGGCTTTTTGTAATGGGGGCATTTAGCCTAGGGGTGTTTTGTCTGGAGGCTTTTTGTCTGAGTGGGCCTATTATCCTACCACCTTTCAGATAACCAGTATCAGGAATAATCAGAAATATTGTCAGATCATAGGTTTTCGCACATCATACTTTTATGGACTGCAGGCTTTACTCAGGCTAAACGAAGGGTTTTGCATCACACAGACATTGTAAATTCTTGAATGATTGTTGTGTTTTGGAAAAAAGCTATATTTCATAAATGTTAGTGAGATGTTTTAGGGTCATTCGTGTGATTAGACAGATAACAATAAAAAAAAATTAAGTGTCTGAAAACATATTTATTAACTGGATACACTACTTGTTAATATGTTTTATGAAAATATTTCATTAATTAGCATTTACACTCACTTTATCTCTATGAGATAGTCACAATGGCTAAGAGACCTATTTGACAGTGTAATAATTGAACTATAAACTATGACTGTGCTATGTAGAAAATCAAGCATTGTCAAAATATCCCACTGTTGTGGGTTTTCGGACACTTAAGAAAATCTATCGTTTTCTTGATTATCGTATGATACAAATGTCACTAATTTATTTAAATAACTTTATCTTAAACATAATTCACCATCCGAGGATTTACAATGTCTGTGTGAGGCAACCTGTCTCGTTATAGCGGAAGTAAATACTGCCGTCCGAAAAAGTACGACGTCCGAAACACCCAACATACAATCCGAAGACAGGAAAAATACGGCGCTGACATTAGAATGTGTGTACCAGGAGATAAGAGATTTACATAACGGTTTGGTACTACGAACTATAAAACAAACCTAGTACAGAAACAGTGACATACTTATGAATCCGATCGATTATTTCGGAACACTAAAATATCCTGTGTTTTGGGTAGATCAGCCACACGTACCCTAGCTAAGCCTACTCGTTTTCATTGAAGTCAACTCATATTTGCCCCTTTCTGACAAACCTCTTACCAGGTATCCAGCGGTAAGTGTTGGGCCAAAAGATATGCACTTTCATGTATGAAAATAGCAATGCAAAGTATCGCCTGTTACATTAGCAAATCATGCAATAACTAAACACAGACAGAAACTTACCGCTTGAATCCCGTACCGGCACACCTGAGCATTTGACAGCAGACGCTTTTTGTTCCCGGAAGTATACTTTTTATTATGAAGATATATTCTGAAAACATTGCTCCAACATTCAAATGCGTTATTGTAATATATTCCCCTAGCATCTTTTTAGCTTTTTTTTATCACATTAATGTATACATGTTTGTTATTTACATTATTAAAAAGTGTTGTAGGCGAAAAGCCAGGCGATTAAGCATTCTAAATAAACAAGTATTGTGTTTATAGGGATTAGTTGTTAGCTATATGTCTTCAAGAAAATCTGCCACGTTGCGTGCGCATGCGCCCAACCCGGAAGCCACGACGGCAAAAGATGGACTACTTCCGAAATTTTCTTGGGACTCCTCAAGGAGGAGAACAACCAACCGGTGCAGAAACGGTAAACAGAAAAATATATTAGTTCTAGCATCTTCATGACACCCTGTTCTAATTGTTTGTTCCAATAAAGTATATCCATATATTGCATTTTGACCGCTTCAGCTGTAAGCGTTCGAAAGTTTACCAATGGTGACATGTGTCAAGTTCCAGAGGTTATGTCATTGTAATTTCGTGATAACATTTTCGCTCTGTATGAGAATGGACACGATGTAAGTTGAATCATTTGATGTTTGGCACATGCCGAATTCCACTCCACAATCATTTAGGATGATATTTTTAAAAACATATGATTGTTTATTGGAAGTCGAGTGTTTGTTTCTGTACGATATTGGAGGCCCGATATTGCATCAAGAAAATCATCGCCATCATTTGATGCTGTACAATACCTATAAAGGACCTTCTTGTCAAACTTGGGTTGGTGTGTGTGTGATAAAAGCAGATATTGGTAAACAAGAGTTGTAATGGGCTCCAACCATCTGATATGACTGTAAGCATCGTCATGAATCCAATGTAGATTGTGGTGAACAGAGATGGCTCCTGTCAAAAGTGCAGTATATTGACAGCAGGTTGCTGTTTTGGTAACTGGCTTGGACTGCATACTGTGGCTCTCACTTCGCAGACCTTGCATTCCTCTTCAGTCCTTGGTGTTATAGGCGGTGATGCGGTAGCCCGGTAGCAAAGACCCGGGTTATAATGCGTGAAGCCCATTTTGGTGTCCCCTGCACTGATGTTGCTGGAATATTGCTAAAAGTGACGTAAAACTAAACTCACTCACTCACTTGGTGTTATATGCAAGGTGGCCTACCTTTAGAATTCAGCACCACAAACTTTACAAATACGTCACAATACCTTATGATGTAATTTGCAAAACTTTGTTACCAGTACCAATGGCAAAACAATGCCCTGTGATGCAGACAGTTGCTAGGTTATTGAGTGCACCTAAGCTCCTCTTGGTGTTTTGTCGTCTCTAAATGCATTGCCATTTGGACTAATGGAAGTTGTCAAGGATCTTACGCTTAAGCCACTTCCACTCCCGTCACAAACTCATAGGATTTGGTGTCAGGCTCACAGACTTGGTTGACATGTCATCATATCCCATTTGCATAGATTGATGCTCGTGCAGTTTATCACTGGATTGTCTGGTCCAGACTGCCATCATAGCTGGAGTGTGACATTAAACAACAAACAAACAGTAATGATTTAATAGCTTACTCAACCTTGTGGCATCACCAGCCATGCTCATGTCTTAGTAGTTCCTTAGTACGATCCACATTATCCTTACAGTGTTTAGTACAACTCTTTCTGTCACAAATTTACAAGATTATTTTAGTATTGAATCATATCATTCATGCATAATGTGAATTCAACATCTGACACCAGATGTCTCCAGCCGTCTGCAGTTTACACCGTATCATCTCATTCCATACCTCTCAATATTGTGCAGATTACATAATGGAAATAGTGTGCCAAATATCATTGATATAATTTGTTAATTGTCTGAAGATTAAAATCACAAGACACCATGTTTACCTATAAAATTTGTAATTGTCCATGGCCTAATCAACGCTTTCTGTTCATTTCCGTAATCCTCAGGCATGACTAGATAAATGTACACAATAAGTAACTGTGGGGATGTAGCTGAGTCAGTTAGCTTCCAGGGTAACAATCTGAAGGTTGCGAGTTTGAGTCAGATGGATTATCACAAAACTGGTTGCTTGTTTTAGTGATATGTGACCTTCTTTTATCAATTTTCTTGTTTCACAGGGAAAATGGCTATTGTGCATGCACAGAAAGGTAAACTATTGGGTCTTACCCACTTTCTAAACCAGCACTAATTCTTGTGATAGTGCTGTTAGTCCTGTGATAGGGTGTTGGCCAGTTAGATTGATTCATTACCTTAGCTCTAAACTGGCAAAATGAGATTGATCCTTGATGTGGCACAAATTGAAATGTCAAAAGGTGCGCCCAGGTATGTTTTAGTAAGGCAACTGTAGATACAGAAACAAAATGGGAACAGTTACTTGATGAAGGGTCCAGAAGTACAGGGATTTACATGGAGTCCTGTATTTGAGGGTCCCTGGGACTTATACTCTTAATTTTCAGCATGTTCAGGGGTCCCAGACACTTAAATATTATTATTAATACACGTTGTTGTATTGTGTATCATGATCATCACATTGCTACAGTAATTAAATTGCAAATAAGACCATAACCCAGCTAGTAGAAAACTCAGTGATAACTTATTGTCACTTGATTGGAATTTTACAAAACATATTTGTACTTTTTCTGAGTCCCTGTGGATGCGCTTATAAATTTGTTGCGTCCATTGTCAATTTTTATGCCTTTTGGATGCAGGAATTCGCGTCCTGTAAATCCCTGGAAGAAGCCCAGAAACGTTTTCCATGCATAATAAAAAAAACTGTATCCATTCTACTCCTTGTCATGAACCCCAAATTCTCAATGTCTAAGAGACTTTCATTTGTAAAAGTTGGTGTGTATATGTTTCTTCAGGTTGAGAGATTGACAGAGCGAGCCACCTCCTCCACCCTGCTAGAAGATAGGCGTGGTGCAATCAGAGCCCTTAAATCTCTGTCAAAGGTAAGTGACCATTTGTCAGTCCAACGTTAAGCTTGTTATGTGTGTCTATTATTAAGAGTGAAGGGGCGGTGGGGTAGCCTTGTGGTTAAAGCGTTTGCTCATCATGCCGAAGACCTGGATTCAATTTCCCACATGGGTACAATGTTTGAAGCCCATTTCTGGTGTCCCATGCCGTGATATTGCTGGAATATTGCTAAAACTGCATAAAACTAAACTCACTCACTCACTATTAAGAGTGAAATTCGATATAATGAGATATTATCGTTGTATTGACTGTTTTTTACCTGAGCTTATTCAACTGAACAGATTTTTTCTGGACTTGAGCTTGACAGACTGTGTTGTAAGAACTGACTAAGAGAATGCTTTAAACCTGCACAGAGGCTGATATCTGACCCCAAAATGTTTCCTAATTTATCTCACAGTGGCTCTTAGTCTTAGTTTGAAATTGTACATAAATCCCTGTGAATGGGGATAATCTCCATAATATGTGACCTGTGCGTCATCAAACCCCATCCAGAATATTGCTTAAATATTGCTGAAACCTACATAATACCCCCATGACCTCATGAACTTACTCTTTGTTTCAGCCCTAGTTGTGTCTCAAAATAGGGGAGGGAGCGGTGGGGGGTAGCCTAGTGGTTAAAGCGTTCGCTCGTCACGCTGAAGACCCGGGTTTGAATCCCCACATGGGTACAATGTGTGAAGCCCATTTCTGGTGTCCCCCGTTGTGATATTGCTGGAATATTGCTAAAAGCGGCGTAAAACCCAACTCACTCGCTCAAAATGGGAGAGGTGGGGTAGCCTAGGGGTAAAAGCATTCGCTCGTCATGGTGAAGACCACCACTCATCCGTTCAATTCCCCACATGAGTACAATATTAGAGGCCCAATTTCTGGTGTCCCCTGCCATGATATTACTGGAATATTGCTAAAAGCGGGCTTAAACTAAACTCACTGTCTGAAATTACTGTGATTGGTGAATGTGTAAAGTGTAAAGGCAAATTACTGGTAATGTTAACAATGGCCTTTTGTCTGTTAACAGTTCTTGTTTCACAATCATCATTCCAAAGTAGCTTGAATAAAATTAGTGATAACAATAACATAGAATCATGAACCACGTTTTCTATTGTCTATTCAGAAATACCGCCTTGAAGTTGGCACACAGTCTATGGGAGTATTGATCAATGTCTTGGAACAGGACAGGTGAGTTGTCTTGTCAACTAATTTGTTACCATGGTTACAGGTATCCAGGTGTTTTCTGAATAATTCTGAAGGGTTTGTTACCCACTAAACATGCCATGCAGGTCTGTTCATTACACTGAGATTGGTTTATTAGCTAGATAGAAAGCATACAGAATGTATCGATGTTTTGCTGAACTGTGTACAACATGATTTTTGTTTCAGAAATGATGCTGAGATCACCGGTTATGCTCTGGACACATTGTGCAATGTCATGTCTAATGAACCATCGGAAGATGGTAGGTAGAATGAACAGTGATTACAATCCCAGGGATTGGGATAAGCAGGGACCATGGGCCACTTTGCACATTAGAATAATAAATGGCCCATTAAAAAGTAAACTTTTGATACAAAGGCAGTGGCCCATTCTAAATAAGAAAATGGCTAATAATCCTGAAAATGGCCATTGTCAAAGTTCTCTATCCCAATCCCCAATCCAAATTCAGGCTGTACTACATTAAACCAAGTAATGAGGATTATTGTAACTATAGATTACTTGGCTGTTTGTGTCATCTTGCTCTTAGAGAGAAGTCAGCTCCTCCTCACCCAGCACCATCATTGTTGGAATATTGACTATTGATACTTTCCTAATGTTGATGTTTTGTTTACAGATGATGAAATGCCATCACATGTTCCAAGTGAACTAGGAGGACAGTTCACAGAAATCTTTATCAAAGAGTCAGAGAATGTCTCTCTTCTGCTCTCTCTGTTGGAGGTAAGGATGTTTGAGAATTACTTTCGGAGCTTACCTTTTTGTAATTTGAGCAGTATCTCGACTTGCATATCTTCAAAGAATGAGGGGCAGTGGGGTAGCCTAGTGGTCAAAGTGTTCGCTCGTCACACCAAAACCCGGGTTCGATTCCCAACATGGGCGCAATGTGTGAAGCCCATTTCTGGTGTTCCCTGCCGTAGTATTGCTAGAATATTGCTGAAAGCAGCATAAAACTAAATTCACTCACTCATTCAATGAATGAATGCCCCATGGCCTCCATGGTCAGAAATAAGGTATAAAACAGTGACTCTTCAGTTCAGAATCAGTACAGTGTGTCTGAGTGGTGTGTGTTAAACTGCAGTGTGAGGTCTCAGTGGGCTGGTACATGCAGACAGTGAGACAGATGCATGTAAGCGCTCATGCGCTGTACAATTTCAGTAGTCACAAAAGCAATATTATTATCCCCATTAAAATCATTCGTGTATGAATTATGTCAGATTGAATTTAATTGAATTGGAACAATGTGTTTTTATTACTAGTTGGGGATTCTACCCTGAATAGGCTATTCTGTCCAATGCCTTCTGAAAGAATGTATGATGCCCTTATACAGCAATAGCAAGCATTGATAGATACTCCTGACTGAGGCGGGGCGGTGGGGTAGCCTAGTGGTTAATGCGTTGGCTCGGCACGCCGAAGGCCCAGGTTCGATTTCCCACACGGGTACAATGAAGTCCATTTCTGGTGTCCCCTGCCGTGATATTGGTGTAATATTGCTAAAAGCGGTGTAAAACCATACTCACTCACTCACTCATCTGATTGAGGCTAGGGGCCCGTTTCACAAAGTTATCGTAGTGCTCCAACTGTCGTAAGTCTATGTATCCCAATTGCGTAGATTGATGCTCATGATGTTAATCACTGGGTCGTCTGGTCCAGACTTGATTATTTACAGACCGCCGCCATATAGCTGCAGTATTGCTAAGTGCAGCATAAAACTAAACTCACTCCTGTGATACCACTGTAGGGATACCAGGTTAGGATAGTTTGCAATAATGTTTGCTCGTTGTAAGAGACAACTTTATGAATCAAGTTGTCAGATTTGGTGACTTAGTTGATCGTATGTCTTACTCCAATGGTCAAACATCATTCAGTCACTTTCATCCGATTAGGAGTACGACTTCCATGTGGCGCTGGCCGACGGTAAAGCTGCTGACCGTCCTACTGACCAACAAGAGCAAGCACCTGCAGGAATGCATCTTGGTCAGTCCCATGGGTGTGTCCAAACTCATGGATCTACTGTCAGACAGTCGTGAGATCATCAGGAACGATGTAAGTACATGGATCCTGTGGATCAAACACTCTGTCACTGCTGTATTGTTGGAAGTGATGCAGTGTAAGTGTATGGAGACTTAGGGACTAGTGTTTGGAATTGGTTGAAATCTCACAGTTGACTGATTCATTACCAACGAACAATCATTGAAAAAAATTGGTTAGCATCATTTTTCAGATTTTCCTATCAAGGTTGTTCTTGCAGATATGAATAACATGATGCAACTTGCTACTTTAAAGTGAAGACTAATATATCATGAACATAAACTTCCCAGAGTCTTTAAGAAATATTCAGTCATGGCTTTTCAGTTAGTGAAGTGAGTTTTCTAAGAATTAAACACGTTTTCAGGCCCTGACACTTCAACGATATGTTCCATTGTCAAGTATTTTAAAGAGTAAAACAGTACTTCCAAAATTGTTTATGTTCGATTATGAGAAAATGTGATCGATTGCTTGGTCATTTGGTCACTGCGACCAATCTTCAATTATTTCAATTAATCGGAACACCACTAGTAGGGACCCTCTCTGGAACATAAAACTGACCATGTATCAGTACAATATTAAGTGTAGGATATGATCCTCAAAGTTGTGATTATTCTGCAACTGTGGTTGGTGTTAGCCCATCAGGCCGAGAATGAGCCCCACAAGCAAAAGTAATTGCGACTGTGAGTAGCATATCCAACTTAAAACAAATTCCCGTTCAAAATACACACTCAACTAATGTCCACTTGCTATGCCTGTGCATAGATACAGGAGGGTCGATTTATATGCATACCAATTATAAATGGTGATAAATTATGTTAAATGATGTATCCCAATACTTCTGAGATGTTATATTGAAGTGGAATTTGCCGGCAATATATTATTTACAATGAGAGATACTCCTTTCTGGCTTTCTGTTTACCATTTACCCTGTAATTCATAATTTTTAGTTTGGTCAACCTTTGTTTGCTAAATAATTCCTCTTGAGATTCCAAAGCACAACTGATCCTTAATAATGTATAGCATGAAGAAGCATTGAGCTGTCTGAGTTGTGTTCTCTTTCCTTCTGATTGTACAGGCACTGTTGTTATTGATTCAACTCACGAAGGGGAACGCCAACATTCAAAAGATTGTTGCATTTGAGAATGCATTTGAACGTCTCATCGAGATCATCCGAGATGAGGGCAACAGTGATGGTGGTAGGCAGAGATAAAGACACATCTGTACATTTTCACTTGTGTGGGTCAGGGTCAAAACCTGTCTCAAATGCGTGTTTTCTTGAAGGGAATACAATAGCCTTATAGCAAAAGTAAAACAAATAATAGCTTGACTTGGAAGACAGTTGTTTGCAGTTATTTGAGAATGACCCATAAGTTGCAATCAGTAACACAAGCAGGTTGCCTTGTGCATTGCATTAAGTTTGACAAATGTTGCAGCCATTCCAGCATCTGCAAGTCTTGGGGCTAATTTCAAATTCACCCCAATTCTAGTGGTCTGCTAGCAAATGCCCCATTACGCTTTAAGTTGTTGCTGTATGACAAGCGGTATGTGTGATTTTATGCATCCTCCAGTTATTACCACGAGTGGGATAGGAGTAGTATAAAATCCAATTAGAGATGCATAAAACCACATATCACTTTAGTTATACTGCTACAACAAATATATCTTGATAACAGTTTTCAAGCTGCCTGTGAAAAAGAATTGGAACAAATTAAAAATTGATAGAAAACAGCTGTTTTGAACTGAAGTTGAGTTGTGCTGTGCCATGTGCAGTGTTTGCTCTTACCCAGAAAAGCTGCAGGCCCTAAGTACCCAGAACCATAACAAGTTATGGGTCCTGGCTAGCTATTCTCGAAATGTTCATAGCCCTACGAACATCTTAAGCCCATGCTTAACATATTGGCTACGATCAGAGTTAAGAATTCTTTCGAGAATAAGAGCCCTGATCAGAATGTGTAGGCCCTATGTTTTAATATGGAAATAATACTCATAGTTATTTTGGATGAAAAAGCTGTCGGCCATAAGGACCTGCAGAAAACAAAAGCTGTGGGTCCGAGTGGTTTCATTCAGGCCTAATGTGCAATTTCCTTATTGGCATCAGGGTAAAAGTAATGCATTCTCCAGCTCATAAGGAGCATGTTTTCTATGTGGCAGGGTATAAGGGATGTATTCCCCCACCCAGAAATTCATTTCCTTCACAGGCAGGATGCATAGTATTTTATCAAGATCCTGTGAACCAATCAAATCTCGTCATTATGATATACAGTGCTTTGATAGAATATTTACTGAACATTTTCATACTGTTTATATTAACCTGAGTAAGGAATTTTGTCAGGTCATTGCAATAGTAGAAGCTACACCATGTTCTAATGTCTAACGTGTTAGTCTTGTTTTTCAGGTATTGTCGTGGAAGATTGTCTTCTGTTGCTACTTAATTTACTCAAGAACAACATTTCAAATCAGAATTTTTTCAAAGAGGGTAGCTTTATTCAGAAGCTAGAGCCATATTTTGAGTTGGACGCTGGTCAGCAGAGCACCCAGGGGGGCTGGTCAGCTCAGAAGGTTACCAACATCCATCTGATGCTGCAAGTGAGTTGACGTTGTGATCACTAACACAACTAACAACCCGGTGTGCTCAGAATTTTGGTGGAGATGGGACGGCAGCTGGTGGTGGATGGTTCTTATTTTGAATGAAGTAAAGGTTTATTGGAACTATGGGCTTACTTCTCAGTTTTGTTTCTTTTTGAGTGTACATGTTTGGAGAGAAGGGGAGGAATACGGACTCATCAATGTTGGTTGGTTTTTTTTAAGTTTTTAAAATTGGCTTTCTAAAAGTTTTAATTAAATTTAAAATAATGTATAAAATTTGATTCCTACAGGAAATGAGTTTTCTTAAATATTTTACTTTTTGATTCATGGAATAAGAAACATACCTTCTAAATTTTTAAATATTTTTTTACATCTTTGGGTGTCTGGTTTTATAAACATCTCATTTTGTCTGAACTAATTCATACAATTAGAATTATTTGAGGACTTTCCAAGAATTATTGGTTTTTTAAATATTTGTCTGCTGAAGAAAATTGAAAATATTTTCTTAAATATAAATATATGTTTACATATTTATAAATAATATTTGTTAAACATTTTAAGTGAGCTACAGTGTCTTATTGATTTCACTTAGTCCCTGTTATAGAAATTATATATCTTCCATCAGTTTGAACCTACATACTATTGTTTGCCTCTGGCTCCTGTAGAACGTTATGAAACATACACAATTATTAATTGGTGCCTGTGATTTTAAATCTTTATGATGGTTCCAATAAACCTTTGATTTCTACAGGTTAGCATGGACAAGCATGCGTTTGTAGTACTAGGTTTTCCAATAATACTTTGTTTTGTTTTGGAATGTCAGCATCAAAAACAGTAATGCAATATTTTCAAATATCATGTATAGATAGAATCTGTGAAGATATTATTGGAAAACCCTGGTAATTAGCATGGAGTGCATTACTAACCATTGTCTCATTCCTCTTGACGTTTATCAGAATGTTCTTGTTCCCCTTTTCTATGTCTATGCAGGGGATATTGACATCAGTTGTCAGTTATATTTGTTTAAACTTTCAGACTGTGCCTAAGCTTAATCCATATGTAATGTAAGCAAGAAATGACATTTACTATGGTTATTTTCTAGGTATGGGTTTGTTTAATTTAAATCTTTTGTGAAATAATTGTTGTGAAATTGATAGAAAGGTAGATGAAGAAGAAAAAAAAACGTCACTCAGTTTGTTTTTGTTCCTGGTAGTACAATCACTACGGTGATGTGATTGTTAAAATTTGATAATGTAGGAAAGGTTAATCAATAATTTCAGTTTGGTTTGCTCATGATCAACTCTACCTTTTGCACCTTTGCAATGCCCCCAAATACAAACTGGAATGTGGCTTTGGTTCCCTGGTTGAAGTCCTATGCCCCTTGTTTATTTGTGAACAGGCTATCACAGATAAGCTGAAAATATTTCAGTTGAGTGAAATTGATTGATTTTGAATTTTGATTCTCATTCTATTAATGGATGGATAATGGACTGTCATAGCTGCAGCAAATATCTATTCAGAGTTCTATCTCTTTTGACCTGGCAGGATCTGCTGATGCTCACTTACAATCCTTAGTTGTCAGTACTGTGGTGTGAGTCACTTGTATTTCCAGCATCAAAGTAACATGCATGTTATAACCAAACTACTGTTCTGTGTTACACTCAGTCTCTTTGCATGATGATCTGCTTGTGATGCTGTGAGCCTGAAGAACCTGACTTTCCTGTCATCATTTGTCTGTCATTAGCATATGTCTCCATCTGTGACCTCTAGGCCAGGTGTCGTCATTGTCATTATCATTATCATTTTTCATATTCCCTCTGTGTCCTTTCTACAGTTTTTATTTTCTCTTCGAACAACTTTCAAATGATTTTCGTTTGTCTCTACCAAAAGGTTTCATGTACTCTGTCTATATTAGAGTCTCTGTGAAAGTGTGAATAGTTTACGTTTTATGTACTTTCTGGGAAATGTTTTTAGTTAGAGGAGCTTCAGTTGCCATGGTTACTGTCAATAAGTTTCTTTTCTTTTCAGTTTTCTTGAACAGTGCTTCAGTTATTTTGGTTTATTGATTTTTACTGATTATTTCAGCATTTTGTTCATGAATTTAATTTTGCGAGTCCACTAAAATTCTGGCTCCGCACACATGTATCATTGGCTGCTTGGTAACAGTGGGTTGTCAAGGTGATGATGCTGTGCAGGTTACTATGTTGTTACCATGGTAACGTGCCTTTCCTAGTAACCTGTACAGCCCACTGGTCCCTGTCATGTGCATCTCCCATGATTCCCAGGTTAGTCCTTCAATGCCTCCCCCATTAAACCTCACCTAACTCGCCGTCATTCACCATCGTGGACCAATGCTTCATTCAAACGTGCTCACCTTTTGCAACTATAGTCCGTTTGATTTCATTCTAGACCAATGAATTGCTCACTAACACAAAATCTAATAATTGCAACAAAACCAAATTTTGCACAGTAACATGAAATCGACAGACCAACTCTGATGATTTCTATCATAATTTTGGACACTCAAATAAAAAAGTTGTTTAACAGACGATCATTATTTTGTTGTCACTGGTCATTATTTCTTACAAGGGCAGGCCACTTGCTGGTAGAACAGCCAGGTGCGCGAGTTTATGTGTGAAATTGAAATTTCACTACCCACGCTTGTTGATACTCACGACCTGACTGTCCTATCAGCAAGTGGTCCCTTCCCACGTAAGAAATAGCGAAAAGTGATAACAAAATAATGATCATTTGTTAACAACTTTTTTAGTCGGGGTGTCCAAAATTATTATGCAAATCATCAGAGTTGGTCTGTCGATTTCATGGGTCTGAGCAAAATTTGGTTTTGTTGCAATTATTAGATTTTGTGGTAGTGAGCAATTCATCGGTCTAAAATGAAATCAAACAGACTATAATTGATGTGTTTCATATGCTGAGATACCCAACAGGGCCAGTTTCTTGTTTGTGTTATATACTTCTCTTTCTTAGTCAAAGAATGGCAGCTGTCTGCACTAACCGTTATCATATGTCAGTTACAATATAACAATATTGTTGTAGTTATTCTTAGCTGTAATATTTATCATGATAGTAAATACAAATAGTACAGTTGGATCTGTTTTGTAAGCATTGAAACATGTGACATTGCAAACGACCCGCATCATGACCATTTAATGTTTCTTATTTTGAGACTAGATCCAAGTATGCAATATTCTAGCTATATGACGTGGCTTAAGAACATTTGAGTCTGGACCATTCAGCCAGTGACTGATAGTATGAACAATGTTCTCTGTTCAGGGCACCGTTACAAGCGCTCCACAAATTCACCACATTTCTGATCCACCTCTCTTTTCGTAAAGTTGACACATCATTTTTACAGTTTATGAGTCTCTTGACAAATACGTCCCTGGATCAATGTTACTGGCAGTCTTCTAGATTAATAAGAATTCTGCTGATTGTTTTGATTTGAGTCTGAGGTGATGAAACCTCAGCATCAACGGCATCGTCATCATACTGGATTCAATTGGTCCCTAGTGTCAACAGACAGATTTTGTAAACTATCTTGGTTAGATCTGTTGTGTCTTTGCTTGGCCACATCCTACAACTCAGCCAACTGTCTGACTGTTCCTGCTGAACCATGTTCCTTCTGTCTGATGTCTTCAGGTTCTCCAAATCAGTCCAGAATCATCAGTTCCAGATTCATCAAATCAACATCTTCATTTGATTTATATCAGATCAGTCCAACATGTTTAGTTCTGAATGTTCTAGTTCATCAGAGCAACATTTCCTTTCCCAAGAGAAATGCCACAATGTGTCATCTTTCTTTATAAAAATGACCCTTCAGTGTTTTGTTCTGCTTTCAATTTTGACATTGCTTCAAGTTGTCATATCTGCTTTTGAGCTGTTTAGTTTGTTAGCTGTTTTTATTGAAGAATAATTGATACAAACAACAGGTTGACTTTTTTGGTAAAGATTATGTTTGATGTGTATTTTTGTGCAAGCATATTGGATAATTTGATTGTCAAACACATACTTTTAAATACAAACAAGCAAAATCCAGTGCATCCAATTAGGAAGGGCTACTATGTGTATGTATGACATGTGAACGTCTCTTGTAGTTGGTACGAACAATGGTTTCTCCCAACAACCCTCAGCAGCAGACGACTTCCTGTCAGAGGGTCATGAACTCTTGCGGTAAGTGTTAACTTAATTGGAAAAGCGTCTGCAATAAATAGTCTTTAAGATTTTGGTAACAAGGATCTATTGATAAACATATTGGTTGCTCGTATGAAAAACAGGCAGCAACCAGGTTTAAGTAAGGCTTTGATAGCTGATACTAGTAAATGGATCTGTTGATAAATATTTGGGTTACTTATGTTAATTACAGGAAAGAACTAGCCAATAGGTTGTGTTTTACGACTGATAATTTGCATCAAATGATAACCTTGCATAAATTGTCTGAAAACAGTATTTATTTACTTAATGCAGGGCTCCTGAAGAAGTTGTGTTCAATACTGATGGCTAGTGGCGTTCCTGCCGATGTTTTGACAGAGGTGAGTCTGGTGGTTCCACTCTCATTATTGTAGACTTTGGTAATTGCCTAGTTTCCTCAAAGTGGTTTAAGGATAATCTCTTGCAAATAATTCTATGCCATTTGATTGGCTAATGCAACGCGGAACGGGGCACTGTATTCAGCGGCGTCCGGCCGTACGTACGTCCCGATTCTTGTTAACACGATATCTGATGAACTGTTGTACCCAATGTCTTCAAATTTAATGACATCCTACATTGGGGGATTACGCAGACACCAGTTTATTTTGGTGACCATGACCTTATTTTCAAGGTCACCACGACACTTTGACCACTTTTCAAACTCTTCTTAGCGTGATATCTCATGCACTGTTGTACCCAGTGTCTTCAAATTTGGTGACAGCCTACATTGGGGGATTACACAGACACCAGTTTATTTTGGTGACCATGACCTTATTTTTAATGTCACCACGACACTTTGACCACTTTTCAAACTCTTCTTAGCGTGATATCTCATGACTGTTGTACCCAGTGTCTTCAAATTTGGTGACAGCCTACATTGGGGGATTACACAGACACCAGTTTATTTTGGTGACCTTGACCTTATCTTCAAGGTCACCACGACACTTTGAACACTTTTCAAACTCTTCTTAACAGTCATCATGGACTGTTGTACCCAATGTCTTCAAATTTGTTGACAGCATACATTGGGGGATTATGCAGACACCAGTTGATTTTGGGTGACCTTGACCTTATCTTCAAGGCCACCACAATACTTTGACCTCTTTTTCAAGACGATATCTCATAAAACATTGCACCCAATGTTTTCAAGTATGTTGACAGCCTACATCGGGTGATTATGCAGACACCAGTCATTTCAGGCATCTTGTATGTGACCCCAAAATAAAAAGTAGTAAATATAGATATTCCATTCTTTAGCAGCAATATTATAATATTATCATATCAGTGGCAAACACTTGTTTCTATTTGGGTAAATGTTTCCATCAGCCATAACAATAACCCATCCTATAGCCAGAGAGTCTGTGCTCTAGTTTTTACAGTTAAAACTCCATAGACAAAAAGGTTTTGGAAGTCAGTTTCTTTATAGCTGAACTTGTTCTGCTTGTTTTGTCCGCAGACAATCAACACTGTGTCGGAAGTGATCCGAGGAAACCCTGCCAACCAGGAATACTTTGCCTCAGTTCTTGCTCCTTCGAACCCACCCAGGTAGGCCTCTGCATAGATCTGGTTCATGTATATCACCTGCTACTCCTATCTCCATATTAGGGATGGAAAGACACCTCAGAGTATTTTTAGGTGGTAAAATGGCTGCAGACCATGGGTTGAGTTTTATTCTGTCCCATCCGCAGCTGAACTGGTTGTTCTTTTTCAGAAGAAGTCCTCCTTGGGGTACATATAAGCATTAAAATGACCTTTTTGAAACCTACGACAGTTGTAACTATATTAGAATAAAAATATTTACAAAACAAAACACATAAAACACCCTACAAGGGCCCCTCTGGGCCCCCTACAGCCAAGAGCAGGTAACTCTAGCTGTCTACCTCGCATCTCACTTTTCATGCCGTCGTTCTACTAGAAGGATGTGCGTGGTTCATTTTGGGAAGTTCTACACTTCGCTACATACCTTTACATACCTGTATATCACCTGCTACATCTATTTCAATATTAGGGATGGAAAGATACCTCAGAGTAGATTTAGGTGGTACAAAGGCTGCAGACCATGGGTTGTTTAATTCTGTCCCATCCACAGCTGAACTGGTTGATGTTAATGTGTTGTCATACAGACATTGATAGGTATTTGATGTCATCTTTAACTGGCATACAACTGTTTTAGGATCTTACACCAAAGGGGGATACGTTGAGACAAAAGCTTTAAGCCAGTGCAAGCTCGATTACCCACAGCATCATAAATCACAACATTAAACCCTAATTTGTTCATGGCCTTCCTAGTAGTTAAGGCATTTGCTCGTCACGTCAAAGACCCAAGTTCGATTCCCCATCTTGGTACAATGTGTGAAGCCCGTTTCTTGTCACCCCCAGCATGCTATTGCTGGAATATTGATACTCACTCATTTGCTTCACTCATTGTTTGCAGACCTGCCATTGTTGTGTTGCTGATGTCAATGGTGAACGAGAAGCAGCCATTCCTGTTGAGATGTGCAGTGTTGTACTGCTTCCAGTCCTTCCTGTACAAGAACGAGGTGGGGCAGTCCCAGATTGTACAGACTCTGTTGCCCACCACGGCAGACGGTGAGAGACTATCACACTTACATATGTCCTTAGTGCTGTGTACAGGATTATACTGGGTGCATGCCGTCATTCAGACTAATATCATATAAACCTCACTTTTTAAAAGATGAAATCAGTACAAGGAGTCATCAATTACATGTATCACAATGAATCATTTCACAGTGTATGTACTGTTAGGACACATGACTGGAAGACACTATTTTGGCCTGTTGTACACATATTGGGATTCTGAGTAGGTAAATATACTTGTCATCAAGGCATCAATATGGTTCAGTTATTCAGGACTGTGTGATTGTGTCTGTCTTATCCATGGCATGGTTCGTTGCTTCTAGCATCATTATGGTTTGTTTGGTACATGCTCAGCTGTTTACAGGCCAGTATGTTATATGTTGAATAATGCTCTGCAGTTTTGAACATAAAACAAACCGTTTGGGACAGTACTGTCCAGGCTTGTGATGTTTGAGTGTTATGTTTGTGTTGTAGTGAACACCATCACTGCTGGTCAGTTACTGTGTGGAGGTCTGTTCAGTGGTGACTCGCTGTCCAACTGGTTCGCCGCCACGGCCATGTTACATGCCATCCTAGAGAACCCCACCCAGAAGGAGCAGCTGCTCCGTGTCCAGCTGGCCACCAGTCTCGGCAACCCACCAGTCTCACTGCTACAACAGTGCTGTAACATGCTCTCACAGGTGGGATCAGGATCCATTGCTACTCAAAACATCTCTCAAGGAATACTCTCAAGGAATCCGACCCTTTCAGTTTACAACATTGCATGAATATGGGATGGGTTATCAAATGCCATGACGGCTTCACTGTAGTAATTAAAGAACTGGGTGTTTCTTAACATCTTTTGAGTGGTATTCAGTATGAAAATTTCTCTGTGAAATTATTTCATGGAACGTATGGGATTGTGCTATATATGTGTAACGTATAATGTCTTGCAAACTGTAAGAAGGTTTATGAGAACCGTGTATTGCTACGGAATTTGTTTTGTTTGTTTTCCCAGGGTGGAAAGGTGCAGACACGGATCGGGCTTCTCATGCTGATGTGTGGCTGGATGTCTAACTGCACCATCTCAGTCTCCCACTTCCTGTCCAACTCTGCCAATGTGCCTTATGTATCCTTCAGCCATATACACCACGACACATGGTGATAACACCCGCCAAATACACCACCACACATTATAACACCTGCCACATACACCACCACACATGGTGATAACACCTGCCATATACACCACCACACATGGTGGTAACACCTGCCATATACACCACCACACATGGTGATAACACCTGCCATATACACCACCACACATGGTGGTAACACCTGTCGTATACACCACCACACATGGTGATAACACCTGTCATATACACCACCACACATGATAACACCTGCCACATACACCACCACACATGGTGATAACACCTGTCATATACACCACCACACATGGTGATAACACCTGTCATATACACCACCACACATGATAACACCTGCCACATACACCACCACACATGGTGATAACACCTGTCGTATACACCACCACACATAGTGATAACACCTGTCATATACACCACCACACATGATAACACCTGCCACATACACCACCACACATGGTGATAACACCTGCCATATACACCACCACACATGGTGGTAACACCTGCCATATTCACCACCACACATGATGAGAACACCTGCCATATACACCACCACACATGGTGGTAACACCTGTCGTATACACCTACACACATGGTGATAACACCTGTCATATACACCACCACACATAACACCTGTCATATACACCACCACACATGGTGATAACACTGCCATAATAACCATGACACGTGGTAACACCTGCCATATACACCACCACACACGGTGATAACACCTGCCATATACACCACCACACATGGTGATAACACCTGCCATATACACCACCACACATGGTGGTAACACCTGCCATATACACCACCACACATGGTGGTGAGACCTATCATTATGTACCGGTAATTGAGCACTGAAATCTTGTACATATGTACACATATGTGATGCACCATATACATGCCACCAAAAGTGAACGCATTTTCTCTAAAAGCTTTCAGACAAAACAAATGTCATCAAGAGCAATATTAAGATGTAGTAATTACACATCTTCATGTGGGACATCATGCAGTAAAGCTACCCCTTAATTTGTGACTATATTTCTTTTGTTCATCATCCCTGTTCCCGTATGTCTGTGTGACGTGTCCTTAACCCTATCAGCTGATATCCCAGGTGTCCGGCTCTGATGGGGACGAGCTAGAGACATTGGTCCAGGGGTTGTGTGCCATACTTCTCGGCATTTGTATACTCTTCAATGATGACCAAACAGATTCTTTCACCAAGTGAGTTGGGTTAATTTGTGGTAAATGTGGTTTGTAGTTCTGGGGGGCGCATATATTGGTCTTTAGTGAAATGGGTTTCCAGATTACAATAAGTTCCCAACAATCGTAGCTGATCTCCACATGGGGATTGTTGGTTACAATAGGTCCCCACAAGCTAAGCTGACCACGCTGATCAGTGGCCTGGTTGAGTGTGGTCCACATATCCTGATGGTGAGGAGCAGTACTCATTCCAATGATCTCTGGATTGTTTTGTCTCAACTGACAAACTGTTGTGAATATAGCTGAGGCACTTGTTAAACATTTGTTACGAGTGTGTTTTTTGTAATTTGTAATAACATTGGTTAGGTGATAGTTATTATGAGTCACAATGTTTTAAGTTTTGAGTGTGGGTTGTGGGTCCCATTTCGCGTCATATATGTTCAGTGGCAATAGTATTTTAGCGGCACGTCTTTTGGGATAGTGCTCCAGAGTTACCTCCCTTGACAGGTTCTATATGTGTTGACTTCGTCATGTCGTGGAGTTTTCCACAGATTTCATGAAAGTTCTGAGAGAATAATGATACAGCCATGGTTTGCTCAAAAGTTCTAGAATCTGTGTCAGTATATATAAAGGCTGGTTGTTGTGTTGGCACACACAGACTGACACACAGAATTACACGGGACTTTTCATGTCACTGGAGTTGCCTACCATCGTTATTTGCCTTCGTCAACATGGTCTGACCCTGACACTTCGTGTCTGACTGCTCTCATTTGTAAACAATCTTCATATAGAATATCTTATCTCACTGTAATTACCAAGGCTCGTGGTGAGTTGATATTTTATATTTGTGACTCAAAACTTTAGATTTGTGACTCAATTGCATTGTACTAAAAATCTGTGTTGTGATTCATTGTATCTTGCTCATTGTTTGTTCAATATAATTTTTAAACTTATCCTAACTCACGACTTGCACCTCTCTCTTGCTTCGACTTTTAGTGGAACGACTGTAAACTTTTTTACATAGGCCTCCTTGTCCATTCGCCCGTGCACTCCATGCTGCTCTCCTTAATTAGCTTCCTAGTTCCTAAGAAAGCTTGCAGCATGCTCCACTAATTGCCCACGTGACTACCTTGAATGATTATTCTCCTTCTTGTCGCACTACTGTGTGGACGTGCTTTATATTAGGGACATTATTTCACCCTAACATCATGGGGAAAACAGATAATCACTCAAGGAAAAGGAAAGTTTGTGCTCAATGCAAGATGAATTATTCGTCCCTCGACCCTCACTTGTCTTGCAGTGACTGTATTGGACAATGTAACTGGAACAAACGATGTGGCAAATGTAATTCACTAAAAGATGTGGATTTTAAGGCCTACCTTCGTGTTTGCTCCCGGAGAATCGCTGATAGAGACAGGAAATCAACAGAATCTGATCCCACTCCCGCCAAGCATATCAAGTTACAGCGACAGAAAATCGTACTTTCATGCAAGAGAGCGACGTCTGTGGTTCAAGAGGATTTTATGGACGCTTCATCAGATTCCTACCTATCTGAGGACCTTCGGCACCTATTACGTATGCATCAATCACCTCCTTCCATAGCGTCAGATCACTCGCGGGTGGTTGTGATCAATAATTCATCGTTACCTGTCGCATCTACACTACCAGGAGACCTTAGATCGACATTATCATCATCCAGATCATCGGTACATATCCCCTCGACTGTCTCAGTTTGTTTGGAGCCTGGCCAACCACGTTCAACCAGTCAACTGCCCCCCCACAGTTCCTTGATCCGGACAGAGCTGGCTACAACAGTGTCGCCGGGGGCCTTTCATCATGAATCAACACTTCGGGTTTCGTCACCTAATCGCTGATCCAGATCACCACATCATTCTAGATCACCACAACAATCTAGATCACCTTCACGATCCAGATCACCATCACAAACCCGATCTAGATCACAGTCAAAATCCAGAGCACAACTACGATCCACATCACCTGATCAATCCAGATCACCAAATTGGTCCAGATCACAACGAATCAGATCACCGGACCGATCCAGATAACAACATCGAAGTAGATCATCGGACCAATCTAGGTCACCTAACCGATCCAGATCACAACATCGAAGTAGATCGCCAGACCGATCCAGATCACCGAACCGATCCAGATTGCAAATGCAAACCAGATCACCTGTTCGATCCAGATCACCATATAGATCCAGATCACGATCACTGTTTCCAGTTAGTGCATCGAATCGATCCAGATCACTTTACAAATCCAGATCACCAACCTGCTGCTTCACGGCTATCAGCTACCCGTTATTGGCAGTCCACCTCCGACGTCGCATCCGGCTCATCGCTCACACCCTGTGGACCAGCTTCAGTCTCTGCAATCCACAATAGGTACACTATTAGACAAACTCGCAATAGAGCTCCTAGGTCCATCGCCCGTCACTCCATGATTCTACTCCCCATCTTCTTGGTTCCAAAGAAACATTCCAACAAACTCCGGCTCATCTTCAATATAAAGTTGTTCAATGCGCGATTCCTGCTTCCACCGCCTCACTTCAGGATGGTGTCGATCAACCTTTTACACACCATCCTGAAGAAGGGAGACGACCTCATCAGCCTAGATCTTCAGGATGCTTATCGTCACGTTCCGATACATCCAGAACACTGGAAGTACCTTCGCTTCGTGTTCAACGGGAATCAATACCAATGGAAAGTCCTACCATTTGGAATTTCCACAGCCCCGTGGCTTTTTACCAGAATTACCAAGCCCATAACGAGCTTCCTCCACTTTCAAGGGATCACCTTCGAAAGCTACATAGACGGTTGCATCCAGGCTCAACAGGACCCAATCGTATTGCTTCGCCAGCTTTAGTTCACCACCATGCTGCTCAGACAGTTAGGGTGGCTGTTGAACATCGCGAAATCAGAACTAATACCGACTCAGACACTCCAATTCATCGGAGCACTGTTCGACACTCATCAGGGGATGATGTTCGTCCCTCATGACAGGTGGATAAAGATTCAGTGATGCATTCCTCCAGCTCAGTCTCAGGTGAGAACCTTACGACAGTGGCAGGAGCTACGGGGCCTTCTGACGTCAGCTCAAGCCTTAACTTACAGAAGCCAGCTCCAACTTCGGCCGATACAGTGATTTCTACGCCCGTACCTTCAGGCCAACAACCCCAAGGAACTAATTTGCCTTGCAGAACTACTTCGTCCAGTCCTTCAATGGTGGTTCGACGAACGGAATGTTTGCGCCCGAGTCTCTATGATGCCCTTTGCACCGACTCATCACCTATTCGTCGATGCATCCTTCATGGGTTGGGGAGCTCACTTCCTCGACCACCAAGTGGCCGGGCTGTGGTCATCCGACAAACGGGTACTTCATATAAACGAGCTAGAATTCAAGGCTTCAACCAGTCTGTTGATCCAATCAGACAATTCGACAGTGGTTTGGCATATAAATCATCTAGGCTCGACATGCTCGGCGAATCTGCTACAATGGGCGATCAGGTTCTTCCATCTCATCAACTCACTCAACATCGTAGCCAGACACATTCCCGGGGTAAAAATGTGATCGCCGATGCCATGTCCAGATCCAACCGACCGTCCCCGAGAGAGTGGAAGTTACTCCCCCTCCAGCTCTGCTGCCAAAAGTTATACAGAAACTATTGGCCACCAGCAACATACTACTGCTTTTGGTCGCACACTTCTGGCCAGCGAGAGATGGTTCGTCAACCTAAGAAGCCTGGCAGAGCCTTCCCAACCGGGACGACCTACTTCTTCACCCTCACTTGGAACTGCGCCACGGGTCACCTCAGACCCTCAATCTACAAGTTTGGCGCATCTTCAGAGGTCTCTCATAGCTAAGGGCTACTCCCACCGAGAAGGGCACAGCTATCACTTCAGCGCATCGTACTTTGACCCGTTCCTTGTATGACAACAAGTGGAAGAAGTTTGAAGACTATTGCAAGGTTAGGGGAATTGCATCTCCCACTTCCACCTCTGCTCAGGTCAAGATTTCCACTGTTCCCGAGTTGCAGAGTCTACTGGGATCTGACCATCATCCTTTGTCATATGATTTCTACAGATTATGAACCTTTGGAAGACAAGGACTTCGAACAAGTGACATTCAAGACATTCTTCCTGGTAGCTTTGGCTACCGTTGCTCGTATATCTAAACTGCATGCGCTTGATGTCAATCGGGTGCTGTTCGAGCAGAAGAAGCATGGCAAGGCTTTCCGGGGTCTCCGCTGGGACTTCATTGCGAAAAACCAACTGCCAGGGCAACCGGACCGGATGTTTATCATTCCCCTGTTGTCCACCATTCTTGGGCCTGATGATAATGAAGATTTGACACTCTGCCCTGTTATGGCTCTACATGTTACCTTGCTGCCTCCAAGGATTGTCGACGGCTACGAAAGTGCCTCTTCATACCCTTGTCGACCACTTCAAGAACTGAGGTTTCCCGGACCACATTGGCCTTCTGGATGCGTGCCACGATCCTGCGAGCCTACACCTTTGCAGGGTTGCCTCCTCCAGCCGCTTCCAATCCTCATGTGACTCGTGCACTAGCCTCGATGATGGCCCTCCATCGCAACTGCTCCTTGACCGCTATCATGGAAGGTTGCTTCTTGCGTTCTGATACAGTCTTCTCTTCACATTACCTGCGAGACCTGTCTGTCACGGATGTCCAGGGACTACACCAGTTCGGACCTCTTGTATTGGCTCAGCAGCTTACATTGGCCCAACAACGCAGATGAGGGACGATTCTGCATTCGCGCTACTGCTTCCTTGTATATACTGAATAAAAGTTGAACTGGATCTCAACCTTTTGTTCTCATTATATGGGTTGTTTAAGAACTACTTCACTTGGCCTCCATACCAAGGCATCAGAATACGGCCAACTATCGTGGCCCCAGGACCTGAGGCACAATCAGTATGACGTTGCAGAGGTGTTCAACATTCACGCTTACTGACCTCTACTCCACGGAGCAATTACGTCAATGAAGTGTGACACTCCCGAATTCCAATGGATTTTGTTGCGTTCTGCCTCCAAAGTTGCCGGGCACATCCTTTGACTAAGCTTAGGCAAAGGAGTGAGGGTCAATTTGATGCTGCCCAGAACTGAACGTTAAACCTTGGAGATGACGAGTTGTGTTTCTCTTTCACCTGCCTCGGTCGGTGTCTGGGGGGCCTTCTTGAAGCAGGGGCTGGCCCGATTCTAGTCGCAAGACTATAATTACGGGGGTACCTTGTAAATCGTGGCGAGGCGATGCCTACTTGCCGAGTTGCGTCCCTTGTCTTGTACAAGGTCGCTGCCGAACACCACATCGCTCGGGAGCACCCATCTCCCTGGGAGACGTTGTGCTTAGTAAGCCAAGGGGTTCCGGAGAACCCACTACAAGCATAGGAGTTGCGTGCATGCGTAACAGGCCTCCCTTGTACATCGCTATCTACGGTTGTCATCAGTCCATACAGCCCCAAGACCAGCTGTTTGCACTGTCCAGACAGAAGGGTAATCTGCGGCCCGCCGTCCAACCGTGGGATAAGTGCAAGTCGTGAGATAGGATAATTTTAAACATTTGGAAATTTTAATATAAATTGTATATTTATATACTTATCCTATGTCACGCAAAGATGCCCGCCCGGCCTCCCCACTACTCAGATTACAATGTTGGCTCCAAGATGAAAATGATCATTCAAGGTAGTCACGTGGGCAATTAGTGGAGCATGCTGCAAGCTTTCTTAGGAACTAGGAAGCTAATTAAGGAGAGCAGCATGGAGTGCACGGGCGAATGGACAAGGAGGCCTATTGACAAAAGTTTACAGTCGTTCCACTAAAAGTCGAAGCAAGAGAGAGAGGTGCAAGTCGTGAGATAGGATAAGTATATAAATTACAATTTATATTAAAATTTCCAATTACTGAATATTTTAGACTTGTCTGTGTTATATTTTGCTGGTTCGAAGGGGATTCTTGAACCTATTGTCATGGCAATATATTAACCGTAACACATTGAGTGAACTGTGTTTCATGTAATGCCTTGGTTATCATAGTTACTAACAATTACCATAGTTCTATACCCAAAACATTAATCTTTGGCTCTTCCTACGTTAGTAACTCTGTGTTTTCCAGATCCTCACTTCGTCAGATTATTGAAAAAAGAATTGGACTGGAGGCCTTCACAGATCGACTCTCCCAGGTGTTGAAACACGAAAGTTATACAAGGGCTGCCAAGAGGCCCCACCTTAACCACAAGCAGCCCAATGAAGTTCTGTTTGATTATGAATTCACAAGGTTGTTCAAGTACTTAGAAAGTAAGTTTATATGATATTGACCATTATGTGGGTCATTATGCTGCGAGCTGGTGAGATGCAATATGTTCGTGAAGCTCCAGTTCGTGGTGAAGATCCAGACTATCCTCACTTTTCTTACACATGAATGGTGGATTCTGATTGACTGAGACCCAGTCTGTCATTTTCAGTGGAACTTGTTGTTTTTTACATCCATTTGAATTGCTGAACTGTTGACATTTATTTTTACATGTAAACTCTCTTGGATCAGTATCCGTAGCAACCTGTCACCATACCATTGAAGTCGGTGGACTGGGCTTCGCTCCTAATTCTATTTTTAGTACATTGTTATAATAGAAATGTTTTGAAGCATGTTAGGCTGAGATTAACTTCACCAACCAAACTTCACCAGTAGAATTTCACTAGACTTCAGCTTTTGTTTTGGCTGAAGTAGAAGACTGCCCTGTGCAAATTCCCTGTGTGAATGATGTTAATGTATCCTGTTACAGATGAAGTTTTACGAAATTTATCGGACGACAACAGCACACCGGAGGGGACAAAGAAGGCAGCTAGTATACACGAACATGAGAAGATCGTGGACCAGTACAAGGGGCTCATCACTGAACAGGTGTGTGAAGATGCTGTATATGTACCAGTTACTGTATCATCATGTCCATGTGCTGTTTAGCGTTTGTATGATACTCTCATGGTGTGTGAAGATGCTGTATATGTACCAGTTACTGTATCAGCATGTCCATGTGCTGTGTAACGTTTGTATGATACTCTCATGGTGTGTGTGGGAGGGTTGTTAAATGATTGTACTTGACATAGAAGTAATTACATGTTGATCGTACCTGCATGTACTGTCTACAGCATTAGGCAGTGAGATTATTTATCAAGAGTTGTTAATTCTAAACATTGGGGGCAGTGATGTAGTGATGTAGCTATAGCGTTTGCTTGTCACACTGTAGACCTGTGTGTGATTTGTTCAATGTGTGAAACCCATTTCTGGTGTCCCCCACCGTGATATTGCTGGACTATAGCGTAAGATACAGGAAAATATGTATGTATCAAGGGACAAGGTGTGTGTCTGGTGCAGGCAGCGTATTACATCTTCTGACTCCTTTGGTTTCAGGATCAGCATCTACAGCAGGTTCGACAAGAACTAGAAGAGGTTCAGGCCAGTTATACTTTAGCAAATAGTGAATTGACCGAGCTCCGAGAGCAAGTTCAGCAGTTGAAAGACCAGAACGCTCTCTACAAAGCCCAGAAAGGTGAGCAGTTCCTTCATCCACAATTCTGTAAGGACTCTGGGCCAAATTGTGTCGCAAAATCCCGCAGTTGTTTCCCTGCTTTAGACCAACTTGCATCCACAGAAGTTAATGCTTTCTCCCTGAGGGGATTCTGGGACAAACTGGTTTCCATTCCTTGCCCTTCCCTGTTTGAGAATTCCAGAGAAAATTGTGACCCTAGAATTCCTGCCCCTTGGGTCCCAAGCATGTATTACACATTTACTACTGAGGATCAAGTGGTGTAGCATGCCAACCCACCTCCACAATTCTTTGCTGGGGCTAATTGTCACAAGTTTGCTTGGCCAGGGCTAAATTATGTACAGGCTGCCCCTGATAAAGATGGAATAGTGTTGACTGTGTCATACAACGTCACTCATAAGCTTCCATGAACCTAGGTCAATGTCCTCGATACCACTGTTTTGGATGAGTTACCTTCATCCTAACAGATTTGTCACCAGTCAGGTGTATATTTTCACAGATCTTTCCAGTGAAGGTTCTGTCTCAGTTACAACTAGAGAACTTTAGCGTTATGTCATCTGGACATGCTAACGTATTGTCATGAACAAGTGATTGTCTTGTGTTTGCATGCTGTGACTGTTCTGATTGGCTGCAGGTTCCAAGGATCCCCAGGTGGATGGCAAGAAGGATGAGGAAATTGCAGGGCTTCAGAAGAATGTCTCTGAATTGAAGGAATCTTTACAACAGAGAGATGCCCAGATTGATAGACTGGTAAGACATCTGCGATATTAAACGCTATTGATAATGAAGCCTATCAGTAAGAGTATGTTTTCAGTATTGTGACATATCCATGTTGAAGTGAACTCGGCACTATTAACTGACATTAGTCACCAAAACTCCACATTGATTATTTAGACTACGTAAAAGTACCATGTATGTGAGGTTTCCTATCAAAAGTTAGTTGCAAGTATTGACTACTTTTCTCAGAAAAATGACCTGACAGTGGCCCGAGGCACGAGTCATTGAGCAGAGTGGAGAAGAGGATAAAGAAAATAACCCTAACGAAGCAGCTGTGCTACAAGCCACACTTAACAGACTGAACATCGACCATGAGGAAGTGAAACGCACAGTAGCAGACCGAGACAAAGAACTTTCAACACTTAAATCCCAATTAGAAGCAGCCAATAAAGAAGTAGAAGAATTAGTAAGTGCTTGTGCTGTAACTGGTAGCATTCACTGAACAATACTTTCTTAGAAAAACTTTACACTCTATACAGAGTGTTAATTTTGTAATTCTATTTCAACATTTTAAACTAATTTTTTAACTGATTATTTAAGTTTTCAGGGTGAATGTGCCTATTGTAAAGTATGAATCATATGTTTTCCTTACAGAAACAACAAGTTACAGAAGTATCAAACACACCCTCAGGGGGAGACAACTCAGAGATGCAATCCAAAATAGATTCTCTTGTAGACGAAAATAAAAAGTTACAAGAAAGAGTGAAAAAATCAAATGAAGAAAGTTTAAACAACATAGAAAAAGGCAGAGTAAGTATTGAATTGATTATACTGCAGTCCATCATGGTGTAACTGTAATAGTACCTGTGTACTTGCACGGGAAGATTTTTTTAGCTCATTAGTGATGAGGATAATGTTCAAGTAGAGGTAACTAACATATATTCTTTGTAGAAGGTGTGACATCAATGTTGAAGGGGAGGTAACTGATATTTGTTCCTTGTCAAGCTGTGGCAACAGCATTCAAGGGGAGGTAACTGACCAACAGTAGTGAGGGGAGATAACCAATATCGATTCCATGTCAAGGTGTGACAGCAGTAATTAAGGGAGGTACCTGATATTGCTTTTGAAGAAGAGTGTGACAACGGTATTTACAGGAAAATAAATGATATCTATTCCATGTCAGGTGCTGGAAGAAGAGAAGGAGAAGTACCAGATTGACAAGGCGGAGATGCAGGAAGAGCTGGACACCATCAAGAAGGAGCAGGAGGACCTCCTTGTGCTGCTAGCTGACAACGATACTCAGATAGCTACCTACAAGACCAAGCTGAAGGAACTTGGGCATCCCGTAAGTCTTCCATCATTGTATGTAATATCATAGCTACCTACAAGGCCAAGCTGAAGGAACTTGGGCATCCCGTAAGTCTTCCATCATTGTATGTAATATCATAGCTACCTACAAGGCCAAGCTGAAGGAACTTGGGCATCCCGTAAGTCTTCCATCATTGTATGTAATATCATAGCTACCTACAAGGCCAAGCTGAAGGAACTTGGGCATCCCGTAAGTCTTCCATCATTGTATGTAATATCATAGCTACCTACAAGGCCAAGCTGAAGGAACTTGGGCATCCCGTAAGTCTTCCATCATTGTATGTAATATCATAGCTACCTACAAGGCCAAGCTGAAGGAACTTGGGCATCCCGTAAGTCTTCCATCATTGTATGTAATATCATAGCTACCTACAAGGCCAAGCTGAAGGAACTTGGGCATCCCGTAAGTCTTCCATCATTGTATGTAATATCATAGCTACCTACAAGGCCAAGCTGAAGGAACTTGGGCATCCCGTAAGTCTTCCATCATTGTATGTAATATCATAGCTACCTACAAGGCCAAGCTGAAGGAACTTGGGCATCCCCGTAAGTCTTCCATCATTGTATGTAATATCATAGCTACCTACAAGGCCAAGCTGAAGGAACTTGGGCATCCCGTAAGTCTTCCATCATTGTATGTAATATCATAGCTACCTACAAGGCCAAGCTGAAGGAACTTGGGCATCCCGTAAGTCTTCCATCATTGTATGTAATATCATAGCTACCTACAAGGCCAAGCTGAAGGAACTTGGGCATCCCGTAAGTCTTCCATCATTGTATGTAATATCATAGCTACCTACAAGGCCAAGCTGAAGGAACTTGGGCATCCCGTAAGTCTTCCATCATTGTATGTAATATCATAGCTACCTACAAGGCCAAGCTGAAGGAACTTGGGCATCCCGTGGAAGTCTTCCATCATTGTATGTAATATCATAGCTACCTACAAGGCCAAGCTGAAGGAACTTGGGCATCCGTAAGTCTTCCATAGTCTACCTCCAATCATCCCGTAAGTCTTCCATCATTGTATGTAATATCATAGCAACTACAAGGCCAAGCTGAAGGAACTTGGGCATCCCGTAAGTCTTCCATCATTGTATGTAATATCATAGCTACCTACAAGGCCAAGCTGAAGGAACTTGGGCATCCCGTAAGTCTTCCATCATTGTATGTAATATCATAGCTACCTACAAGGCCAAGCTGAAGGAACTTGGACATCCCGTAAGTCTTCCATCATTGTATGTAATATCATAGCTACCTACAAGGCCAAGCTGAAGGAACTTGGGCATCCCGTAAGTCTTCCATCATTGTATGTAATATCATAGCTACCTACAAGGCCAAGCTGAAGGAACTTGGGCATCCCGTAAGTCTTCCATCATTGTATGTAATATCATAGCTACTTAGCCTTGCATTCATGACCCCCCCAAATAAGGACCTTGGCAGATATTTTTGGCATGAGAACCGAAACTGCTGCTTCACTTTCAACCACTTGGTGTTCAGATTGCAACATGATAATAAGGCTAAAAGACCATTAACTCACTTCCTTGAAAACCTCAAATGCTGCTTGCAACCACTTGGTATTCAATTATTGTCAACATTCTGAATATGCCAAAAGGCAATGAAATCAAATCCATACCTACTGAATCAAGCTGAGATACTTTGTGTGTGTGATGGTTGTACAAATACATGTCGTATTCTGCTTTACACGCAGGGGTGATCACATGAGCATAAGGAATGCTCCTTTGTGGTTTGGATTCTTACCCTCTGAGCTGCTTGGTACCCTGATTAATTGTACAATGTGGGTACAATGTGTGAAGCCCATTTCTGGTGTGGCCCACCGTGATATTGCTGTAATATTGCTAAAAGCATCGTAAAGCAATACTCACTCACTCACCAAGTTTGTGTTGTATAGGTCGATGAAGATGAGGATGACGAGGACTTGGATGACCTTGCAGATGATGATGATTATGATGGAGGTGATGATTGACGGGCACAATCCTAGTGGCAGCATACAAGTGGTGCTACATGTGATTGGTTGCCTCAGAACATACAGAGAGATGTGCTGAATCCCCATTGAACAAGTGATGCGTTGACCTTACTAGTCATGGAATACATGACTGCAGGAAGTAGGAATCTTATTGGTCAGTCGCTGATATACTTGTTCAGATGACAACAACTTTGATAACTTCACTCGATTGGTTTGACATCATTACTGACTGGTTGACCCTTTCAAGTTATCTTTAAGCCTACAAATTGTTTGATTTGTTGAGCACCCAAGTTCACTGATTGGTTAATTATCAATATTATGTTATTCGCATTAGGATATAGTATAGCTTTATCTGATGTTCAGTTATAACATCACTAACAGTTGATTTAAAACGGTGATGATCCAAACTTTCAGAGGGATTCACATGTTTCCTGATAAATAGAAGGGGCATCAAATACTGGATGTGTAGTACTAATGTGATAGACAAAGTCCAAAATATAAGATTTCTTGAAGTTACTTTGGTCCAAAAGCTAGCAGACTAAGTGACATATTGTTTTGTGTCTTATTCCAAACATGGATCATGTGACCTGGCATTTATCTGGACCTGCTACAAAGCTGTAATTCGGCAACAAATGTTAGTTAAAAAGACTTAAAGTTCATGTTGCTATTTTTATATCTGATGACTTGATCATGTCGACTTGTGTTTTATTGATGTTAATACTACCAATTAAAAGGAAGAGGCTTTTAAGTTTAGTTTTACATTATTGAATGTAAAGGTTATATATAATGTTAAAAATCCTCTGAATTTTCTTGTTAAAGCTCTTAGTTTTGAATGCTATATATGTCCCTTATGGCATATTACCAGAACGATACACTTCACCATCCTTCATGGCAAAGACACCAACTGATGACAATGCATCGGACTGGATTTAGGTTTCTTGTTATAAATCTTGTTTCTTATTTCCTGTTAATGCTGTTTAGATATGAAGCACCTGTAGCTCAACAAGCATTGTTACTCTTTATCTTTAAGACTGTTCATGTATTCAGAATCATGATCCTAAATATTTGAATTAATTCTGTCCATGTATAGTTTCTATCTACAAAAATGTAACCTGAATTTATTTTTTTATGGGAAGTTCTGGAAGTCCAGGTGTATCAGGGAGTGTATGTTGTAGGGTGTACTGGTGTATGGTGTACTGGTGTATCAGGTTTTGTGCTTTGTATAATTGTATATACCTTTCCACCATTAGCAGTTGAAGCACATTGCCAAAAGGACAAATTATTTGTCATTTCTTTGCCAATATACTCAAGCTTTATGTATACTCTTGATGGAAGTTGAGGAACATCTGGTGTTTTTTCATGTCTATAGTTAATGTCATGGCCATGACATATTTATAGTCATATGAAAACATTGGGTGTTTTTTGTTACTTCTTTTGAGTGATGTATATCAGTAAGGTAAGATATACCTAGTTTCTCATTAAGTCATTTCTTTATTGATATACATGTAGTATGTTTTAATTTCTTAACAAATTTGATTGGAATTTAGGTTCTACCTGTATGCTCTGTATGATATTTGTAAATAGCTGATGTAATCACATAGTGATACTGTTATTTAATTTATATTATAAATGTGTTTGCTGCCATGTGTGACAGGATGATGATGATGATGATGATGTCACTGTAAGCAAGTATAGGCTACTTACTGCACATGGTCATCTGTTGTGTCCGAAATATTTATTCAAATATGAGATGTCAATCTTATCCCATTATGTTATGTACACAAATTCACTAACATACATGTGTATTAATTATACTACTCAATATTTGCTAAGGAATACACCCTTGTATAAAGACATGACTACATTGGTCCTTAGCAAATGTTGAGTAGGATAATATGCATTGCAGCTGATGCTGAAATCACAGACCAACATATTCTGTGACAAAGTTAGGTGTGTTACTATATGCACAATTATGAGCAAGTGTAGAGAATTACTATACTAGCTTTACATGTTAAGTACTCCTATTGTATTGCCCTACTTTTCTCTTACCAGGATTGATTTTCATTAAGCCCTTCTTCAGATGAGCTGTAATCTTAAATTATGTGGATAATTGAAACATTAACACTGGTGCTTAAACAGGAAGGGTAAACAGAGGACTTATTTTATGTTTTTCAGAAAACCAATTAACCAATTGTTGGTGCTCAAAGCTTTAAACATCTCAAATACAGCATCTTTTTATATTTGTATTTCTCCCCCATATTCCTCCTTGATAGAAAGACATACCCATGTAAAACATAAAGATGCATGCAGAGCTTAGCAAGATGCCTGCCTGGGATGGAAGTTAGCACTGTTCGAGGTATTAATTGGGTTAGTAGAAATTCAAACATATTGCTGTCAAATCACTGTTCGGCTAGTAGACTTTCCTTGTTTATGTCCTTCCCAATGGCTGCCATCTTACATGCTATGCAATACGTCATTAATCTCATGTTTATTCTCTTGCTTTGACCTATATTGGAGAATAATGTGTACATCAGTCAGAAACTATAACTATTGTTGTGAACTGTAAATCATTTCTCATATTTTCTGCAAATATATAGCTATTTCTTCATGGCCATAATGTCACCTAATCACCCTGCTGGTCGTCACCATGTAGCAGAGGACCCAGTTATTCTGTGTACAGTTGTGAGTGTATCTGTGTATGAGGAGTCTGTGTACATACAAGTCTTGAATGTGGAGGAGTCCGCCCGCTCGCTCGCACGCTCATCATGGGAATAAATGGCTGTTGAGAAGCGACACCTGTTTTGTTTTGTCTTTTCCATTTTAATTTTTTATATAAAAATTATTCACGAAAAGTCAACCGAGTGGTACAAAAATAGCTTTGGATATTATATACCTTACATTTGAGTGGTACAAAAATAGCTTTGGATATTATATACCTTACATTGTTATTTTACATCTTTAAAGGTAATACTACATGAAGAAATACCATGAGATGTACAACTATTTACATCTTTTATTACACAGTGTCAAACACAGCCATATTGATGAAGAGAAACACAAGCTTCATGACTTGAAAGTGGTGATGGAGAAAAACTATCATTCACAATTTGTGGTAGGCAGTGCCAGTCACCATTCCTTACAATTCCATTTCCTTTTCTTGCAAAGAAAAGGATCTTTACAGGTTCTACGAACAATTTTAATAGGACGGGACTGCTGCTTGTTGAAAATGAGGCTGATAGATTTTACAAACAAAAATGAGTATGTTATTCTCATAATCAACAAAATCTACATGTAGAGATATATCCTATCAAAAACACTGAAAAAATTCAGATTCGAAAAGTGTAGATTTTATATACAAAAATAGAACTGCAATATAACAAATCTTTAAACCTTACATGCAGACAACTATTTCATGATAATACTGGTATGTTCATGATCCTCAAGCACTGCACAGTGGCCATATGGTAAAACACTTGACAAACAACTACAGCAACTCAGAAATCCTATAGTCTCAAATTTAAATTGCCCCTCAAAGTCTTGACTAAATACTGATAATGTTCAACTTTCACCCACTGTAAACAGTTGTAACAGAACAGTTCATCCAGCTACAGGAAGACAACTATTGTATACTGGTAGGAACATGCATATCTCACTGTAATGTATTCTAGTTAACAAATATTCTTAAACCTTGAGTTCTCAAAATGGTATGTTATGAATTTAAGTAAATGTCTTCATACCGATGCAGAATTATTCATATTTTGCAAGTTTATAAAGATGTATTTTGAGCTTAAGAGGTTAACTGCCTGGTTTAAGACACATCACACATATTATTGTGCACATCATTCCAAAAGAGCTGGTCAGAGCTGAAGGGTACACTGTTAACACAGATGGGTAATGCTATATACACATGACAACAATACACAGGTAGAGATTTCTATGTAAATATCACAGTTCATATTGCTCATTAATATTGTGTCTCTATTGAGACCAGGTGCAAAAGACTATATATCGTTTACTTAAATTTGGAACATGCCAGTTAATAATGAAGCTGTTGTAACATGATTTTACCTAGCATGAATTTCACATAACAAATTTCAAAATATTTCATCAAAATCATTCAGCTAGATGTGAACATCTAAAAGGTTACAAAAACATGTTCTTTGCATAATTGAAAAATATTTCCGCTTCAGTGACACATTTCCAAGCTAAGCCAGGGTTGCAGATCTGTAGTTCTGGATGTTGATGGATCTGAAAAGAGTGAGTGAGTGAGTGAGTTTGGTTTTACGCCGCTTTTAGCAATATCACGGTGGGGGACACCAGAAATGGGTTTCACAAATTGTACCCATGTGGGGAATCGAACCCAAGTCTTCGGCGTCACGAGCGAACGCCTTAACCACTGGGCTACCCCACCGCTCCTGGATCTGTAAAGACCCATGAAAGGTAATGAGAACATCTTTCAACCACAATCTGATTAGGAAGATACACCCGAGATGTGACACAATATACACATCATTCTTTAACATTACTTAAATCACAATATACTACCTCCATATACGGGGTGGTGGGGTAGCCTAGTGGTTAAAGTGTTTATTTGGCACGCTGAAGAGTGAGCGAGTATGGTATAACGCCACTTTTAGCAATATTCCAGAAATATCACGGCAGGGGACACCAGAAATGAGTTTTACACATGGTATCCATGTGGAGACGGGTGGTGGGGTAGCCTAGTGGTTGAAGCGTTTGCTCGTAACGCCAAAGAGCCAGGTTTCATTCCCAACACGGGTACAATGTTTGAAGCCCATTTCCGGTGTCCCCAGCCATGGTATTGCTGGAATATTGCTAAAAGCTGCATAAAAGCATATTCACTCCAGGTTCAATTGCACTGATTCAAATTCTGGTATAATGAAGAACTGTATGATCGATGTCCTTACTCCAGTGTTAAAGGTTTAGAGTGTCACTGATATTGCATTGAATGTCACAGAAGCAAAGATAGGAGTGAGGATGGTTTTCCACCACGTCACCATTACACTTCTATCTCCATCGACTGCTCAGAACACCAGCCCACTGGTTGTATGAATGTCAGTGTGGAGTACTGACCTTTTAACATGCTGGTCCACAATTGATATACAGGGTGTCGTCTTGGGGCCTTGTGACGGCACGAAGATCCTTCCACTCTTGTTCACCACATTGATTTGCCGTTTGACACGGACGTTGTATGGGTCTTGAGAGTGTGTCGGATAAGGATCAAATGTACCAATTTTGGAGCCACCAGGCTAGAACAAAAAATATAACTGGATTACAAGTGGCTTTATCTTAAGAGAAAGTCATGAATAAAGGTATTTCATGTGTTCAGTTCCCTGTCTTACACACTATAAAGACAGTACTGTCTACAAAGTTGTGACCCTTCACTACTAACTATCCAGAAGTAGGATAACAAAATAACCCTTCACTATTAACTATCCAGAAGTAGGATAACAAAATAACCCTTCACTATCAACTATCCAGAAGTAGGATAACAAAATAACCCTTCACTATTAACTATCCAGAAGTAGGATAACAAAATAACCCTTCACTATTAACTATCCAGAAGTAGGATAACAAAATAACCCTTCACTATTAACTATCCAGAAGTAGGATAACAAAATAACCCTTCACTATTAACTATCCAGAAGTAGGATAACACTATTCACTAATAACACTCCACAAGACCTACATGTTTGCCTGGGGAGCTGGGTTTAAATGGTTTCAAGTCATTCCTCTTGAGGGTGGCAGAACTTGACTTCCTCAGTGGGGGCAATGCCTTCTCTGATCGGTAAGGGTTGGAGTCAAACAGAGCCTGGGGGTGCATGTTCAGCTTGAAGGCTCCTCCCTTCACCAGCTTCCGGTGACCCTCATTCTCTTTCTGTCAATCATAATAACTTTCTGTTGTCAAGTATAAGTACTTTCTGTCAATATATTAAAAATGTTTGATTTTAAGTATATGACTTTCTGTTGTCAAAATTACAGACTTTCTGTTGTATCATATGAACAATTTCTTATGAAAAACAATACGCATCTTCTAAAGAATTATTTTCTTCTTCTATTGGTTTAAGAATAAAACTAATTAATTTTGATTTTGAATGTTATCAAATTTGTTCCATGAATCTATAACATTCTGTTATGGAAACTCTTAGTTGAAAAACATGATCATTTTGTTGTCAAATTTAAGACAATGATAGAACGACATCATGGCGTTAAACAAAATGTACCTATGCTGTCATCAGCAGTGTTGAAGGATTTAGACAAAATTTATATCTGTGCATCAAGTCGATCAAATTTATGTAACTACAAATATAAGTTGTTTCTGCTTCATCACATCTCACTGACCACACAGTCCAGGTTGTGTCAACACTGAAGTTGCCAACAGCTCACACCACAATCTTGTGTTTGTATTTGGTCTAGACTGGGGCAGGAAAGGAAGCTGTAGATACTGTTTGTAGGGACACATAGACAACAACTACAGCAGATCAGTCATGTAGACAGTATACAAATAGAAATTGCAGCAATTATACAACCAAACTGATAAAGTATCATTTAGCTACAATCATAGGCTTTTTCTATTTGTCCACAAACTGATTACTTCCAATATGACCATGCAAATAGTGTGATATAAAGGAAACAGTCACCTGATCTAGTTCTGGTCAAAGGTAACTATGACAACTCTGTCACTTTGTGAGACATATAAAACATGCATTGACTAATAATAATATTATTGTATGTAACAACCTGGGACTACACTATCCATTTGTTGACAACTCAGATTTCCTATGGCATACGCTATCCCTGTGTTAACACCTTGGATTTCAAATGGCACACACTATTCATGTGTGGACACCTGGGATTGCCCATGACCTACACTATCCCTGTGTCGACACCTGGGATTGCCCATGACCGACACTATCCGTGTCGACACCTGGGATTGCCCATGACCTACATTATCCCTGTGTCGACACCTGGGATTGCCCATGACCGACACTATCCGTGTTGACACCTGGGATTGCCCATGACCTACATTATCCCTGTGTTCACACCTGGGATTGCCCACGACCTACACTATCCATGTGTTGACACCTGGGATTGCCCATGACCTACACTATCCCTGTGTTGACACCTGGGATTGCCCATGACCTAAACTATCCCTGTGTTGACACCTGGGATTGCCCATGACCTACACTATCCATGTGTTCACACATGGGATTGCCCACGACCTACACTATCCATGTGTTCACACCTGGGTTTGCCAATGACCAGTGACCATGACCTACACTATCCCCCTGTTGACACCTGGGATTGCCAATGACCAGTGATCTACATTATCCATGTGTTCACACCTGGGATTGCCCACGACCTACACAATCCATGTGTTCACACATGGGATTGCCCACGACCTACACTATCCATGTGTTCACACCTGGGATTGCCAATGACCAGTGACCATGACCTACACTATCCCCCTGTTGACACCTGGGATTGTCAATGACCAGTGATCTACACTATCCCTGTGTTGACACCTGGGATTGCCCACGACCTACACTATCCATGTGTTGACACCTGGGATTGTCAATGACCAGTGATCTACACTATATGTGTTGACACCTGGGATTGTCAATGACCAGTGATCTACACTATCCTGTGTTGACACCTGGGATTGCCCACGACCTACACTATCCATGTGTTGACACCTGGGATTGTCAATGACCAGTGATCTACACTATCCCTGTGTTCACACCTGGGATTGCCCACGACCTACACTATCCATGTGTTGACACCTGGGATTGTCAATGACCAGTGATCTACACTATCCCTGTGTTCACACCTGGGATTGCCCACGACCTACACTATCCATGTGTTGACACCTGGGATTGTCAATGACCAGTGATCTACACTATCCCTGTGTTCACACCTGGGATTGCCCACGACCTACACTATCCATGTGTTGACACCTGGGATTGTCAATGACCAGTGATCTACACTATCCCTGTGTTGACACCTGGGATTGCCCACGACCTACACTATCCATGTGTTGACACCTGGGATTGTCAATGACCAGTGATCTACACTATCCCTGTGTTGACACCTGGGATTGCCCACGACCTACACTATCCATGTGTTGACACCTGGGATTGTCAATGACCAGTGATCTACACTATCCCTGTGTTGACACCTGGGATTGCCCACGACCTACACTATCCCTGTGTTGACACCTGGGATTGCCCACGACCTACACTATCCATGTGTTGACACCTGGGATTGCCAATGACCAGTGATCTACACTATCAATGTGTTCACACCTGGGATTGCCCATGACCTATACTATCCCTGTGTTGACACCTGGGATTGGGATTGCCCACGACCTACACTATCCCTGTGTTGACACCTGGGATTGCCCATGACCTATACTAGCCCTGTGTTCACACCGGGGATTGTCAATGACCAGTGACCTACACTATCTGTGTGTTGCTACTACAGACTATGAGCTACTGACCTAAATGTGCTACAACAACATTCTACTGACATCATGTTCTACTTTAACACTGTTCAGACCTTTGCCAGTTCCCGCGATCATATGCCAGTTCCCGCATCGATCATATGCATGGTGTTGATACTTGGGGTAGCCACCAATTGTCACTCCAACAAAGCTAAAAGCATAATGGAGGGAGGGTTAGTTTTGTGCACAACTGCAAAATGCAATCTTGTGTTAATGAAGGTCACTCACAAACAACATGGTGCTTGTCATGACGTTCTGCAGGGTAATTTCTCCTCACTCTCTATACACAACTTACACAGAGGAAATGGGAAAATGACTTTTACAAGGAATTGTTTGATATTGTTTACTTAATTTGTCTTTAAATTTATCATCCCTTTCAATTTTTTCACAAATCTGTGGAATAATTACTTGAGATTATTTTGTTGAGAGATGGATCTAACTTCAAGAACATGATTATTATAAGATACAAAATATTATAGAATGTAATGTATCTGTAATTTAGAGGACGACCACCTACAGTCAACATGACAAGCACATTTCATGCAATTAAAACTTTCTTCTTCTCTGAAAAGTAACATACAGCATTGATGATCACTGCAAGAAAACAATGGTGATGAACACTTCAATCTTCAGTCAAGCTCATTGTGTGCATTGACAAAACAGACAGCACAAGTCAAGCACATTTTGGTTTGGTGTATTCACACAGTGATATAAACTGGGATGTGTTATCATGCGGGTTATAACAGTCACACAGCACAGTGATATAAACAGTGATATCTGTCATCACGCAGGTCAAAACTGTCATACAGCACTGGTCATACAACCGACCTTGGCCTTCTCCTGGGTACTGTTATAGGGTTCAACCATGTGTGCTGGGTATTTGCCCAAAGTCACATGAAGGTATCTGCAACATGTCATATTTTTATTGCAATATGTAGGAACTGACACAAATATTTATTGCATTTATTGAGACATAAAAGTAAAAACCAGAGTGCACATAAATCAGCATCTCTATTACTGAGTGTGAACATTATTTCTAAAGTCCAAAACGCTATAAAGGCAACAATACATTGTTGTCAATCATAACAACTGTTCAATGTCATTACTAGGAAATGGGGCTACAAATAGATAAAACAAGACATTATTCAGAATCTGATGTGTTTTCTCTACAAGATACATTTGTCTGAATAATATGTATGATAAAGCTACTCTGTTTTCAATTTTGCGGTCCTTTATCGTTGATTTAACGTAATGTAACGCGTTAGCCTGAGGTTTTACATCAAACATTTAGCGGTCTTAAATCAACAATAAAGGACCGCAAAATTGAAAACAGAGTAGCTTTATCTTCATTCTAGCACGACTGATAAGTGTTTTAAAACCGAACTGTTTGGCGTGCAAGAACACAAGGCGTGAAGGGGCCTCTTTTTTTTCTCGCTTGGAATCGTCCCGTTTAGGGACAGGTTGTATAATGAACAAAATAAGACATTTTCAACAACATAAATGCTATATTGCAGGAAACAGTAACAAGTATCCGCTTGTATTCGTAAGAAATAGCATACATAAATATAAAAAAATACAGTTTATACTGTGAGCAAGTACAATTATTTGATTTTTCTCAAGCGAATTATTGATCTCCTCTACTGTATGACAATCGACTCGCCCAAATTCAAGCCATGAACTCGCTACGTTTAGTCACGGAAATAATTCTTGATAACCACCCTACTATTCCCAATTTGAAAAAGACCTGACATGCCACATTTTATGTGGAATACATGGACAGTGGAAGTGGAAGGACTAGGCATTACGGCCGGGACGGAGGCGGTCAGGACGCATGGGCTGGCGTGTTTTGTCAACGTCATGCCTGCTAGATCTAGACACGGTTTGAATACTGCCCGCTTTTGCACTGCTGACGAATTTTCCCGCTTCGTAGTTTCTTCACTGGGATTAGGGTGAAGAAATTCTTCTTCAAACTATTCCCTTTTTAATTCAAAAACATCAAAGATGCTGCCGAGGTAGAAATTGTCGATGTCCGACATGTTTGTTTACAAACAAAAGGGTCAACAAGTTCATTGTATTCATACGGGGTGAATCGGGCGCTTTAATTAGCGGTCTTAAACTGCCATTTAAGTACGGTTTTGATGAGCTCTCAGGCAATCAGAATTGAGTATCATACAATGTTGTGCTAGAATTCTGCTTCAATTTATTAGTAAAGGGTTAACAATGGCAATATCAGAAATGTGCCCAAAATTGTACATGTTATTTTTTTGTAAAGAACACAAAAATATTTTAGAGAAAAGTTTCCATTAGTTTTCTTGACCATGACACCGTAATAGCAAATTCAGCATTAGACTGTTCTGGAAAGTTTCATCCAGAAATATTCAATGGTTTTGGAGTGATATTACTGAAAAGTCTAATTTGTCGTCATAAAAACAGGAAAAATAAAGTAAATTGAACATCCCAAATCATCAAAAGGCACATATTCAATACAAGAGTGGATTGTATTGCAAGTTTCATCTAGAAATATCCATCAGTTTTGGAGTTCTGCTCTGGAAACTAGCATTTTTGCTATTAATTTGTCGTCAAAAAAACAAACATAAAAAAATAAGAATAATAAATCGCCAAAAGGCACTAGTTCACAACCAGACTGATCTGTAAGGTAGGTTTCAGGAGTTCTGCTCTGTAAATGGAACATGGACAAAGAGACTTGCTGATTGCTATATCCCACCACATGTATTTGTTTTCAAGTTGAATACATTCATATTTAGAGACTTATGGCAAACAATGATCTGCTTAAACCACAAATGACCCATAGTTCACTTACCCAAAGCCTGTGCCTTCTTTGCCTGGGTTTGTCATGACATTTTTTCCAGGGGACTTGTATGGTTTACTTGGCTTCTCTCCTGGGCTAAGGGCAGCGATTGGACCACCCAGTGTACCATAGTGGCTCCCTAAACCAGACCTACACAACAGGTAAACAAATATTTGACTATCACAACTCCGGCATTGATATGTAAGCTACCATTTCCATTTTTCAGACCCTGATTAGTCTGACAAACAAAAGATTCCAAATAATTCCTCACCCATTAAACTTTGTAATCGTGAAGTGAAGGTATGTGGAATTATTTCCAGGCATAATAATGACATACATTTTAGAACATATTCATCATGTCATTCAAGTCATTTAATGAAATTATTAAATGAAAATTACATTTTCTTTTCTCCACTGCTTGGTAAAAATGCCTTTGATAAATTTTTCTTTGCATCTTCTTGTCGTCTCTGCCTTCTCATTTTGATAGGGTCACTGTATGCCTCTCCTTCCATAACTCGGTTGAATTTTTCTGCAAAGTAGCCATGTTGAAGGGCAGATTTCTCCTTACTGCCACCAGGTAAAACTTGTTTGCCTTTACTCGCCGATACATTAAATTGAACTGAAACAAAATAATGAAACCATGAACACAATTTTGGTTCAAAGAAATATAAAGGGAGTAGTGCACTTAACTGGGTGCACTTTTTCAGATTAATTAGCACTGCTGGGGCTCGAACGCGCTTCAATTCAAATGTGTTTTAATTGGATATAATAGCATTATACTGCCCTAAGGTAAGGTCTAATGCTCAATAAGGATCGGAAAGGCACCCTAACCCTTAACAGTGTTCACGAATTGTGTTTCAAAGTAACAGGACATTGGGTCCTGTAAGTTTCAGATGTCTGTCTGACCCATTGAAAATTCACAGGACCCATAGAATAAAATTAAACACACATTTCAGATTTAACATTTCTTATAATTGGCATTGAAATTATAAACAAACATAAGATTTATAAACAGCAAACAAGTGACACATGTCACATATACTACCCATCAAAAGTTTAGACTCACTTAAATCAATCACTATATGTGATGTATATATATGAGGTTACATCGAAGATGAATTTCTCCTCTAACTTGGGGGAATCAACTGCAAACCTTATGCAGATGAATTGCACGAGGATCATGCATCAAATTGCTGAAAAGCATGTGCAAATATCGAGCATGTGAACAGCTGTGTTTTGGTGTAAAGTTTTGTTAAATATTCACCAATTTTCACTGAGGTTCATCATTAATTGAACTCATGACAATAATCTTTTCAATGTTCCGAATTTGTTTTACCATACATCAGTTCATGTGTAAACAGTACCTTTAAACAGTATGGAATATTTTGCAAAATCTAGTTTAGAACAGTTGATTGAAGAAAGTGGCTACATTTACACAAGTGAGTCTAAACTTTTGATGGGTAGTATATAACAACTTCAGTCAAAATTCATTGTGAAATATACAGTCAGACACTGGGGCTGGCGGGTTGTAGACTACTGTCAGACCGTTCGCAAATCTGCCAGATTTGTCAGAGGGTCAGATGCTATTCGTGAACACTGCAAGCCTGCTCCTTAAGGAATTGGAAAGGTTCCAAAAACCTACCGTACTCCCAACCCTAACCTGAGGATTGGAAAGGATGCCATACCCTAACCCTAAACCTAAGGATCATAAAGAGTGCCATACCCTAGCCCAAAACCCTAACCCTAAGGAATGTAAACAGTGACATACCCTATCCCTAAACCCCCAACCCCAAGGATCGTAAAGGGTTGCTTGACTCATAAATGTGTCAGCTCCCTAGGGATCAGAAAGGGTACCTAACCCTAAACCCTTACTAAGAAAGTGTAATCCCAAATATAACATACGTTACTAAGGTTGGTTGACTGGCAGTGAAGGGAGATGGAGAAAATTACTACCATATAACGAGATAATTACCCCGCAGCGAGCAGTGAGGGCTGCGCCCAGTAAAATGCACTCTAGCCAGTTTGAACAGTCTATAATATGTGACACTTGCTGCATATATTAGAAATTAACACATACACAGTTTGAGGTGGATGGTGAAACACTTAACCCATGCCTAAGTAATTTATACATCCCCGTTATAAAGAGTTAACAATGGTTGATAATAGTTCATGTAGAGCCCAACCGTGATATTGCTGGAATATTGCTAAAAGCGACGTAAAACTAAACTCATTCACTAATGTAGAGCCACTGTGATCTATTTCAATTATGTACATAAATCATGTCACTTATGAGAGATAAAGCCCTTTTTACAGCCAGCGTGAGTACTGCTGTCAAAACATATCCCGGGATATCACATTGGAAAACCTATGATCCGACATTACTATAATGTTACTTTTAAATAGTCTTGGTAAGGTAATACCCTTTCCACACATGTACTTCTTTATGTACTCTTAAAGAAATAACACTCGAATTATTCACAACAAAATCAGTCACCTGAATGGACTAAAGATTAGTTTACAAAAACTATGACACCGAGCTAGGATTCTAATCTAGGATTATTAGAAAATCACACTTTGCAACTTACCACCGGGAGTCTTGTATTTATCTCCAATTGATATATACCCCATTTCCTGGAACAGGCCGACCCTGTCCATATCAATTTTCTTGTCACCCATCTTGGAGTATCTAAGTTCTCACAAAAACTAAACGTATTCTAATGCAAATTGAAATTGGTGTTTCTTCACTTCAGCTGTCACAACTTCAGCATTTCAAAACGTGAGGCAAACAAAAAGTAAAGAACTTATTAGAAACATAAAAGTAATGTTAAACTAAAAAGTAAGAAATCTCGCTTCCTAAAATATCACAACAATATCATGACAGGTGCGAGAAAGCAAGCGAAAGAACACCACAATCCATGTTGTGGAGAAGGAGATTGTTGCCAGAATTGCTATGGAGATGCTTCCAATGCGCATGACCGGAAGTCCGATTGGGCGCCACCTACAATTTTCCCCGCCACGGGACACGGAAACGGGGTATATTTGCAAAGTGAACTAAGTGGAAAGAATTTCAAGTTGACATGTGTAAAATGTTGACGACTGGTGGATACTGCGACAAGAATTTGAACTGACAGCTGATGTGTAAGTGTCAGTGATGCGGATCGTGTATCAAACATACTGATTAAAATTAGGTTATGGTGGTCGGGAAGTTTTCAACATGTTCAAAGCTTAGGCTACTTGCGAGATGTCAGCAGCGTTCATGTTTCACAATCATGTCATTATTTAGCTTTGTCAGTTTTGTATTACCATTAATCGGATCACATTCTTTCAACATAGACTTTGTTCGCAATCCATCGAACTGTCAGAATAAAGTATTTTAGTTTTTAACAACTATAACTTTTTTTTTTAAGGTATCTCCTGATAATGCAGAATGGGTCATTGTGGCCAAGGGTGCTACAAAACACCCTAGTATCCTAGTTACGTTTCTGTACACAGCAATGTACACTAGAAGATCAGAACACAACAGTACCGATACCCTAAACCTTGGATGAGCCTATATGAATCCCACCAAGACAAAAACATTCCGCCTTATTACAGTAAATGCAGGATCATGTTAGTGAATGCTATGTATCTTAGCTACATTGTACCAGGTGGAAGAAACAATAAAACCATCAGCATGTTTTCACAGTCCATTCCCTGTTTCTGGATCAGCATGTCCATATTTTAGAGCAGAACTTCTAAAACCTGTAGTATATCATGTTGAAACATGTAATAGAGATCAGTCATGAATTGGTGCCTTTTGAGGTTTTTGGATGTGAACTCGCGACCATGGGATCGTTAGCTCAACAGCAAACCATGTGACATCTACACTACACGAAGTATATATCTATTTAGTCATGCCTTAGACGTTACAGAAAAAATGGAAAGTATTTAGTTTTACTTCACAGAACTCGGAAAGACTTCTGCCCGTATCCTCCCATTAAATTTCATTCAAGTCTAATCATATCAGCTGAATATATATTCCTCATCTAGAATGAGTTTTAACATGTTACTTTAATTGTATTGGAACATACTGAAAGACATATCCAATTTCTAAAAATGCCACTCGAAGACATTTGTTCTCATTGTTAAGATTTAGGAGGGATACGGGCTGAAGTCTTATCCCAAACCAGAGAAATTTGTCATGTCTTGTTGACTCTTGTTTATAAAACATGCTGGACTGCATCTCATACAACATCAAAACTGGTCTGATACAGAAACTGATAATGATTTTTATGGAGAAGCGTGTACAATGTGAATGACCCCCCTTATATTTATGTACAAAATCAATGACCCTCCTTCCCATAATTTCTAAGCAAAATTTGTTTTTATTTTCATGTACAAAATTGCTGACCCCACATGGACACAAAATCACACTCTCTCTCTCTCTTTCTCTTTCTCTCTCTCTCTCTCTCTCTCTCTCTCTTTCTCTCTCTCTCTCTCTCTCTCTCTCTCTCTCTCTCTCTCTCTCTCTCTCTCTCCATATTTTGTGATAATGTCCTTTGTTGTAAGTAATCTGATAAAGTGTTTGGTTACTTATTTATATTAACTAAACAATTCATTCAGAACTTGAATATTATGAAATTGAGAACTACACCAGTAATTCTATCCATTTAACTTGTTACTAAAAGGTCTAGCTTTGAGGGATACTTATGTGAAAAAAATATTGCACCAAAAATACTGTGTACCGTACATGACCGTCTATAAGCCGAATTTTGAGGACCAAAAAAAGCAGTCTGTAGAAGGGGGTCGTCTTATCCATGAGTTACACTTTCGTCAAATCTTTTTCCAGGGGTAAGAAAACAACATCGTATCACTTCGCGTGAACAAACAACAGAAGACGACTTTGTCATTAGAGACGTCAAATTTGCAATTAAACATCACTAGACAAGATTAATTACCATTTAAGTTATAAGTTGTTTTTGCTGGGCATTGTTTTATTTGCAGGGATTAAGATTACCGTGCGTATTTGTCACCATTACACAAAGCCGGAAATAGCAATCAGCTGTGCACGCGTCGAACAAGTTCAAACATGCACAATAATATAGCGGGGACGAATTCTGGCGCAGATCATCAGTAAAATATAATACAGAATACCGTTATTTAACCCAAAGAAATATATCCTAGCATTGTGTAATTTTAGTTACAGTTTTTGCTCTATAAATTAATTAAGATTACCGTCGCGTATCTGTCACCATTACACAAAGCCGGAAATAGCAATCAGCTGTGCACCGTTTCCCTTGAACAAGTTCAAACATGCACAATAATATAGCGGGATGAATTCTATTGATTGAATACTATTATTTAACCCAAAGAAATATATCCCAGCATTGTGTAATAGTTTTTATGTAAAAATATATAATCAACACTAAGGTTATCACGGACCATCATGAGCGTGGTAAGCGCGTGACATGGAGCAGCGGTAATCAGTTTGTGATTGTTGAATGGGGTAAAATAAGCAAGCCAGTTTGTTGCTACAATAAATATGATATTTAGAGAAGCAAAATATATTATGCATTTTCTGTCAACTACGCCGTTTCGATCCATTGAGTAGACACAATATATATGACAGTGAATTCTTTGAATAATGTGGATCGACTTACAGTATATAGGGAGGACAGTGACCGCGAATTTGATGGGTTTCTGACCCGATGACTTGTGAAAATCTCAGAATTCTCTTGCAGAAATGTCAGTGTTTATTGTTAGTGGACTATTTTTCTCATTGTCATATATATATAGATGAAATATGGACACTTAAATAATATATTTTGAAACAAAAGTTGACTTCAGATTTTATTCACCGATGGTACTTTTTCTCTTGGGTTCACATTTCCATACTCACCGATTTCACAAAATGGCGTCTCGTTGTTGATGCAAGCAGTGATCGTCGGGATATAAAAAAGGAACACAAACACATGTTGCCACAATACACCGGTAATCTTTATTATGTAATATTCTCACCAACACTTACGCTGTATATCCACTTTCCAAATGGCGTCTCGTTGTTGATGCAAGCAGTGATCGTTAAAAAAAGGTAAACAAACACCGGTAATCTTTATTATGTAATATTCTCGTAATGGTGTCTCGTCGTTGATGGAACATACTTACCGGGTACTCTGGTCTCTGTTGGCCGCGACCCATCGCGGGGGGGCGGCCTATCCATGAGAGATATGATTTTGACACTGATTTTGAGGGTCAAGTTTGGGGGTCGGCTTATCCATGGGGTCGGCTTATAGACGGTCATATACGGTATGTTGCATGTGCGTTTCAACCTCTTGACAAAGTCTAATCTGAAACCCTGAACCATTTTTCCATAATTTTCCCACTGTTGCGATGAGTTGGTATCACAGGGAATACGAAGCAACAGATCTGTAAATATAGATATGTAGGTTAATCAAATTATTACACTATCTGGTTTAAAAAAATAGTTGTTTTTCATGAGCTTACGTTTGTTATCTATTTTATGGTATTTATTCAATTTTGATTACATTAATAATTGATTACATTAGGAATTGACTAACAGATAGAACAAATCCTGTTCATAGCTGTTGATGTCTTGAAATTAGCCTCAGAGTGACATGAAAAATCATCTTTATAATAGTAATAAGGACTATAGAGCACTAGCATTGTTAGTGGAGAATGTAGAGGACCGTACTTGTTACTGGAAATTATAAAGCACTATATCTGTTACTGGAGACTATGGCGCACTAGAATAATATTACTGCAGGTGTTACTGGAGACAATAGGTTGACATAATTGTTACAGATACCATAGATAAGTGTTGTATGGACTACAGAGCACTAAAACTGTTAGTAGAAACTATAGCGCACAAGAGATGTTGCTGGAGACTATTAGAATCGTTTCTGGAGACATAGTGCTATGATTGTTACTGGAGACTATAGAGCACTAGAATGATGTTTTTGGTCCTGGGGACAATCAATAGATCAATAGAATTGTTACTGGAGACTATAGAGCTCTAGAATGATGTGTTTGGTACTGGGACAATCAATAGATCAATAGAATTGTTACTGGAGACTTAAGACTAGAGCACTAGAATGATGTTGTTGGTACTGGGGACAATCAATAAATCAATATAATTGTTACTGGAGACTTAAGACTAGAGCACTAGAATGATGTTGTTGGTACTGGGACAATCAATAGATCAATATGATTGTTACTGGAGACTATAGACTAGAGCACTAGAATGATGTGTTTGGTACTGGGACAATCAATAGATCAATATGATTGTTACTGGAGACTATAGACTAGAGCACTAGAATGATGTGTTTGGTACTGGGACAATCAATAGATCAATATAATTGTTACTGGAGACTATAGACTAGAGCACTAGAATGATGTTTTGGTCCTGGGGACAATCAATAGATCAATATAATTGTTACTGGAGACTATAGACTAGAGCACTAGAATGATGTTTTTGGTACTGGGACAATCAATAGATCAATATAATTGTTACTGGAGACTATAGACATAGAGCACTAGAATGATAGAATGATGTTTTTGGTACTGGGACAATCAATAGATCAATATAATTGTTACTGGAGACTATAGACTAGAGCACTAGAATGATGTTTTTGGTACTGGGGACAATCAATAGATCAATATAATTGTTACTGGAGACTATAGACTAGAGCACTAGAATGATGTTTTTGGTACTGGGGACAATCAATAGATCAATATAATTGTTACTGGAGACTATAGACTAGAGCACTAGAATGATGTTTTGGTACTGGGACAATCAATAGATCAATATAATTGTTACTGGAGACTATAGACTAGAGCACTAGAATGATGTTTTTGGTCCTGGGGACAATCAATAGATCAATATAATTGTTACTGGAGACTATAGAGCACTAGAATGATGTTTTGGTACTGGGGACAATCAATAGATCAATATAATTGTTACTGGAGACTATAGACTAGAGCACTAGAATGATGTTTTGGTCCTGGGGACAATCAATAGATCAATATAATTGTTACTGGAGACTATAGACTAGAGCACTAGAATGATGTTTTTGGTCCTGGGGACAATCAATAGATCAATAGAATTGTTACTGGAGACTATAGAGCACTAGAATGATGTG